ATAATGCATGGACACTACCCATTTTGACGATATAATTGCAAGGAGATTATTCCTATTTATCTTGATAGTTTGAACTCATTTTTGTTTATTGTCACAAGTATAATGTTCTATTTAAGTTTAACTTCAGTTTGGACAGAGCAGAGGTTAACCATATATTGCCTATCAGCCGATTTGTTATTTGCACATTTATTAGGCCAAGGTCAGTCATATCAGTGAAAGGTCAAGGGCAGTTGTGATGGCAGAGATCCAATAATCGTGCCTGTATAAAATCAGCTACAGTTAAGTAATATGGAAAGATTATTATGTACCAGTGCCATAGACCTATAAAAATATAAATAGGGGTTTATTCATTTAACTAAAATTTCTGACACTTTACAATATTTTCGTGTTCAATTGCTGCAAATTGTATCTGGTGTCACAGTATTCGCAAGTAGCGCAGGAAATGTTAGCAAACCTCTCCAACTGATAACTTTCATATTTGCTTCCCCACAATTTCTTTCTTGTGTTATCAACTGCCTCAGTAAACTGAACTCTAATAGCTTCTAACTATAGTTGGTAATCAACATGACTGAGTTTGCTGTTAATGAACGTCATACAAATGTAATATGTACATAAATAGTTGATCAATAACAATTCATACAGTGAAACATTTGTCATTATATAAAACGATATGTATGTAGATCTCATGACACACTACATAAGTAATTATCAGGGGTCGAAATTAACTGTTTTAGGCACTAGCAAACCATTGCTAGTGCCTAAAATTTCCACTAGCAAAAATGATGAACAAACTAGCAATTTTTTGGTGAATAGGTTTGACTTTTATTTACTGTTATATTGAGTTTTTCAGGAACTGAGTGATATTGGAAAAGTTATCCAAGACATTGGATAAGAATGGCTGATTGCTACCTGTATCAACATTTTAAATCTGTGTAACTTTGAATTTATCAGTTTTCTTTTTTCCATGTATGAGCTACATCTAATCAGACTGTCATATGATCAGATCCATTTATAAATGTAACTATATCCAAATTTATATTATTTAAAAAATTGTTTACATTAACGATCATTTCAATAAATTATTATCAAGACAACTATCTTCCGTGTTCTCGGCAGTCATTGCGCCATACTGTATTAACAACATCGTTACTAGATGAATTGTTGTATCCTAGAATAATATTCAATTCTTTTTCTCATTTCTGTACCGTTTTTAACGTGGCCGTATATGCACGTTGTTGTGGCGGTGATTTTATATCAGCAGCGTCAGGAGAAACGCTCTCCGATTTCGACGAATTTTTTTTCAGAAGGGCCAGGCTGTGGCTGTTGACTATTGCCTTGGTCATCGCAAGCACTGTCAGATGCTTTCCTTTTGAAAAAGTTTGTTATCATAGCTGATATGTCACGTTTCACATGATGAGCAGACAGAAATCATAGAGTTTTCCAAGACAACTTTTTATTCGGTTTACACATAACTATCAAGGGAAAAATTGGAGGAATTCCGAATGTATTGATAATCTATGTCACTTTAGCGTTTGTAACCTATTTATTCATTTAAAGGCAGACAGAGAAAGGCATTTTGTGGCAGATGTTTCGTCAAAAATAGTGATTAGGTATAGTTCATTTCCACTCGCAAAATTTTGCTAGTTCATTATTTTCCAGCTAGCAATTACCAGATTTTAGCTGGAATTTTGCTAGTTGTATATAGTTAATTTCGAACCCTGAGTATGTCATGTAATTCTCAGCAATTTATGATCAGAAAATGACTAGCAGTTGGTGAATAATCGGCCCTATGATAAATTGTCCTAAGAATCTCTAGGGGGTAATAAAGACTAACTATATAGACCTCGTAAAATATCTTTTCCCTTATTTGTGTAAGTACAATGTAATGTGATCCTGAGTAGTCATACTTGTCTACCTGGTATCAGTGTTTCAAATTTTATTAAGTCATCTGACTTTTTGACACAATTTCAGAAACAACATGTATATGCACATAATATAGTATAAAATGTACTCTTTGCTAGTTACTATTATTGTTCTATACTCATCTCTTCATTTCCGTATAAAAATTCTTTCACTACAGATATTCATTCTTAAATACAAATGATACCATGATTTATTTGAAATATCACTTGTAATAGTGATCAGTTTAAAGACTGCATCATTTTGAGTATATAAATAGAAGCATAGTGACATGTATACATTATGCCACTTTCATGTACAGCATACTGCCTCATGGGATACATGCATATTTTCATGTACAAATATATATGATTCTACAGGGTGATGTTAAACCATGGTCACTGCTGGTCAGTCACCTCTCATTGGATGTATGCACCATGGTATGCTTAGTTATAGGTAACATAGTGATTAAATCCATACTCAAGATCTAGAGGATTGTAGACTTACTGGCCATAACTGGTCAGCTTATTGGTCAAGGTTAGACATAGAAAGTCCTTTATTCACTTACTGGTACTTGCAAGTTATTACAAAGCCAAGGGTACCTATAATATAACATTTTCATTTGATGTACATTTATAGTAACTGTTTGTAAAACTTCACCACAAAAGTAGAGTTTGTGTCACTATTGCAAATATGCATTAACAGATAGAAAGAAGAGATACTACTCCTTATGGCAAAATTACTCTGGACCTTTCCCAAATCTATTTATATACACGTATGTCATCTCAACATCTTTATTAAATAATCTTCTATGATGTCAGCGCTTTTTGAAAATGATGGTTAGATATGTATCAAGAAAGCATTTGATTAAATTTGCTTTGTGTCTGTTTTATCAGGTAAGGTCAACATCACAAAGTCACAGCTAAGGCTAAGTTTAAAGTTTTTCTTTTCCAACTTTAGATTTTAAGACAAATCCAATCTTCAAATATATTTTGCAGTTTCAACTTGAGGTACAGAGTGAGATCGTCGTAGTACAAGAAACTTATTATTTGATTTAAAATAACTGGATTATATCATTTTGTTTGTAATGTTCAGTAACACATCTAATGTACAGTTTTATCATATGGATAAAACTAATCAAGGTTGTTGTACCCTTGTAACCACATCAAATGTACTGAATACAGATGTATTAACACTCCCAGACATTTAAGACACTGGTCTTGTTGGCACCTATTAAAATTTCTGGCTTTCCTTTTGGCATCAGACATAAGAAAATGACGCACTGCATTAATGCAGCACTTTAGAAGTCAGAGGGTTTTTTTTAGTGGTAATCCTGTATTGATATTTGTTTTTGCCCACTGTAAGGGGAGTAGGATGTCATACTCCTTACTTGATGAAACATCAAAGGTAAAACATGCTGTATGTAATAATATTGGTTTTTCTATGTTGATTTTACAGCAGCCTTATTGAATTGAGAGAATTTTCAGAAAAACTTTAGGAAAACATTATTGAATTTTGTTTTATTTTGGAAAAATAACACCAATTTTGACTGGGGGGAAACAGCCTTTTTTCAGCTGTAAAATAGGGCAAAAAAAATCAAGGAATAAACCATGTTAAATTGTACTGTTTATATCATATTTTCCAAATCTCAAAAGCTTGGACTAGATTAAGAATTTGTATAAAAATGAACAATTTCAAAGTTGGGTTAAATTTTTGTACATGTAGAAATGGTTATAATTATCATTTTTTGAACCTAAAGGCAGCCTTTCAGTGATGATATTCATAGACAATAGTAAATAAGGATTTTTTTATACTTAATGATATAAATGGTGAGTTTTCTTTTAAAGATCAAGTTTATTGATTTTTTTTCTTGACAATAAATGAATTTTAACATTATTGACACTTTGATAAATAAAACATTTGTGAAAATAGCTGAAAGTTTATGAAAGAGAATTTGTAACAAAATATTAAATACATTTTTATACATATCTTTGTAGTTGAAACAATAAAGATTTTCTACACATAATGATACTTGATATGAAAAAACATATGCAACCCTATACATACACATATATATTTTTTTATCATTATTTATTTCTTGTTTTTTTTTCTCTCATTTAAAAATAACTGAATATTTATTGTCAAACATATTCATGCGTGTGTTGGATTAAGATTGAATTCTTGTGGTTTTTTCAACAGCATGCCAAAGGTATTTTATCTACGATCTTGTAAGTAATGGTCGGTGCGTCTGATCTTGTACATAGAGGATCGATCCTGTTAGTTTTGTACACATAACAATGGCTCATTGATAAGACAATTGAGGGGTCATTGAGACTCATTATTTACTGACACATAACTGCCCACCCCTCTGCCACACTGTCAGTAATCCTCAGTTAATCCCTCGGGTAAACACCTGATCACAGCCTGCTCAAACAGGTAGCACTGTCACTGGGACCTTTAATCTCAAAATATAACCAGCAAGATCCAACTTGTAGGCAAATATGTGCGCTAATTTTTCAATTTGTGTAGACATTGGCGGTCAGTCATTTAAAGTTTGGTGTTTGTGCGTGTGTGACCGTGGGAGTTTATTATGCAGTGATACTATACCAAAGCTATGAAATACACTAGTAGCTTTATAGATAGTTGGTATTGTGAAAGTCCCTTCCATGTTATGTCCCAATGGGACAGCTCTTTAATGGATGGAGTTTATAACGAAAGGATGTTGGAGGAATCATTACAGGTAAATTATTACAGCTGTTAGGTTGGTGTTGCCTGTCCATCAGTTTGTTAGATTTAATATATGTCAGCTGTATTATTGAATCAACATTGAAATAACATGCTTTCTAAAGCATACCCAAAAGCATACCCTAAAGCATACAATGAACATTATTCCTGGAGAAGGAAAATGCTGGTCAAATGTAAGATGAATGGGATATGTATTAGACTGTATTCAGTGTATTGCCCCTTAACAAACACCAACCACAATAAAAAGTGCATGGTGTATGTTCAGTGGTCTTTCAATGCTACAGCAGCCAGTTTGTTAATGTTTTTTTTTACTTTTCTGTATAGAGTTTCAATGATAACTTGCTTTCTTTTTGCAGGACTACCAGGTGTTGAACCTCCTGGGGAAGGGAGGATTTGCATGTGTGTACCGTGCTCGCTCCAATAAAACTGGTCTTGAGGTGGCTATTAAAATGGTATGTTCAGATTCCCTATCTATTACTTTATCATGTATAGATTTATAACATTCCAGTATATCTAATATCAGATTGTACAATTGATTCTGTTTTCGTAATGTGAAGAGAGAAAAAAATCACATGCGTTATCAATAACAAAAATTACTGAATAATCCAGGAAAAATGTTGCACTTTTCAGATTGACAAGAAGTTGATGAAAGCAGCGGGTATGGTAGCCAGAGTAAAGAAAGAAGTAGAAATCCATTCAAGATTAAAACACCCATCAATACTTGAGGTATACATACCACTGAGTGGATTGATTACACATATGTATACAATGTCGCTTGTATACATTTGACAGCTATAAAGTAAATCTTACCTCTATCAGAATGTTCTTTGTGACTTACAGTTAACCTTTAAATGGATTACACACAGGTACCTTTAACTACTTGATATACAGCTAACTCCCAGTAGCAGTAAAATATTTAGTCGTTTATGACTACTGCTCTCGTTACTGATTTTGATACAAGTACATCCTTCATAACCACACAAAGGCTGTTTTCATGCGTTGCATGCCTTGTAATGAAGTATATATATAGGCCTGTTTGTGAGAGTTGAAACTGGTGTTACATCCTTCTTTCTTTAATATTCAGTTTATTTATCCCTGCGTAAGTTGTCGTAATGCACATAACTTCATAGAAATTGATGTACTGTTTCATTGTATGATTTTGGAAATAGAAAATTGTTTGAGGTTCATGTTAACGACCTACATCAGAAGTTAATTACAGTGTACTTGTATCTATTAATAATCAGGCTTTAGGCTTAGTGCTCCTGTCTGTCAAGTATAAATGTAGCTAATTACAATTAATTTGGAGAATGTGATCCTGTGTTAGGTCACACTTCCTTGACCACTTAACACCACTCTGCACACTGACTATATTACATAGTATGTCACACTTCACTGACTACAGTAGACACTGACCATATTACATCGTACGTCACACTTCACTGACTACAGTACACAACACTGCACACTGACCATATTACATAGCAGGTCACACTTCACTGAACATAGTACATAGCACTGCAATCTTTAAAGATCATAGCAATATTCAAATTCTTAACCAAGCATGGTTTATCCATGTTGAAAATGTAAAGTTTAATTAAATGTTTCCTATGCAGCATGACATACCTACATTTTAAGTTGTGTATAAAGGAGAAAGAAGACAAGTTTTTAGTATACATAAGACCTTTAAATTAAACAACTTCACATCTAGCATACCAGTCCAGAGTAAATGAAGCATGGTTTAACTGTCATTATTATGTTGTCGTTTCAGCTTTACAATTATTTTGAAGACAACAACTATGTATACTTAGTTCTTGAGATCAGTCACAATGGAGAGCTCAACCGCTATCTCAAGGCCAACTGTAAGGTGCTGAATGAGGCAGAAGGTAAATATTACTGTACTATATAGCTAAGATAAAAAAAAAGTGCAAATAATGGCTTCATCAATTCTTAGTTACCTGAACTGATAGCTCTCGTTGAGAAATTGGTTAATTTAGTTTAGTTTAATCCCTAACGAAACATTTATAACATAAAAATGTTTACGTCATGTTTTTCAATGTCACATTTGATTAGCCAATATGGCAGTGTAAAAAATTATTAAATACAGTCACTTATAAATGTTAAAATATAATGAAATCTGTTGTTAGATTTTAAGGGTAAACTAGAAAGAATTTTTCATTTATTTATTACACAGTGTACTAGTTGTCATTATTTATAGTTTCTTTGTGTTATGGCTAAAAAACATCAATAATAAAATTAAATCAAACACACGAAATCTTATGTTTGACAAAGATAACATGATTATACTGTGTAGTTATTCTAATCAACACATTGTCATTTGCAGCTCAACACTTCATGAAACAGATAGTGAAGGGGATGCTGTATCTTCACTCACATGGAATCCTGCACCGTGATCTCACGTTAGCCAACCTCCTTCTTACTCGCAACATGGATGTGGTATGAATATTTTGGTTTGCTTAAGAATACATAGTATTATTTATTTTCTTGAAAAAAATGATAAGGGTACCTTATTTTGAGAATATAAGTATTGTTTTTTAATTGCCTCTAAAATATTCCCTGATTTTTTATGAAATTTTGTAATGCATGTAAAATATAAAAAGATCTACATTAAGGTGTTCATGTAATTATCAGGAGATTTCTGTATGGGCCATTGTTCAACTTTTACTTGGAAAGTAGTAGTTTTGATACTTTTGTTTGTAGAAAATCGCTGATTTTGGTTTGGCTACCCAGCTTAACATTCCTGATGAGAAGCACTTCACAATGTGTGGGACTCCAAACTACATTTCACCGTGAGTTCTCCTTTAAACATTCCTCTACCTTAAATATTCCTAATCTAATATCAAATCAACTTTTGAAATAGGCTCTTAACTTAAATATTAAAGTTGGATTTATTCAAAACTCATGTATGGAATCAAACATTTCTCTTCTAATGAAAAGATGTTTTTATTGTTTTGATAGTGAGATTGCTATGCGATCAGCACATGGACTGGAGGCAGATGTGTGGTCCCTTGGCTGTATGCTGTACACATTCTTGGTGGGGAGGCCTCCTTTTGATACAGAGGGTGTTAAGACTACACTGAACCGTGTTATCCTGGCAGAGTTCCACCTGCCTGACCACATATCTAACGAGGCCAAGGATCTGATTCAGTCTCTACTCAAAAAAAACCCAAAGGAACGCCAAAATCTCAAAGGTAGTTTCAGCTGTGTTGTGTAGTTAGATTTAACTGGGCTTTTTATTTGACAAATGTAGTAATTAATCACTTTGTTGTCATTATTTTGGTTTTGTGTGACTTATCTTATCTATCATGTTAAAGACACTATCCCTATCTGTAATAGTAAAAGCTACCAATGTTTATCTACAGACACACAGGCACACAACCTGTATGTGTTGATACTTACTTTCTGGTGTTATTTTTTCCCCAGACATCCTGGGTCACCCCTTTATGACAAAGGATAACAGCAGTAGCCTTAGTAAAGGCTCTCATGGCTTTGGGGAGACATCCATTGACAGTGGCAGGGGTACCATGGCAACTATTTCATCATCACGCATATCCAGTCACCCAAAGCCACGACCCTTTCCAGCATTCCCTCTTGAGTCCCAGATTTCTGAGGATGAGGAAGGTTTAGTAAATGGCAAAAATCAGGGATCTGAGCAGACAGAGATGTTTTTCCCCAGAAAGGGGGCCCCGCCTCCCTCCAATCCCGTACTGCGACACCCACCCTCTCCACCTGTGCGTCTCCGGGACAGGTAAATTTGTTAGTACTGAAACATGCCTCTTCTCATGGTATTAATAGAAACTATTCTTGATACAAAAACAAAAGAATTTTACTTTTTAAAAGGATTTTCAGCAAAGTTAATTGCACAGATTGTTGATAAGAAACAGTTCATCAGTTTTCCTGGTGTTATATAGGGCCAATGATTTTCCATTTCAAATTTGCACCAATTCTGTTTCAGATTTTCATGAATTCTGTTTTTTACCGGTTTCATGAGATTGAACAAAAAAAACATAGCAGATTGTCATCAAAAACTTTAATGACTGGATAATTGAAATTTTCCTGACTGGAACAATTGAACTAATGAACAATCGTAGAATATGATATCTCGGACTAGTTTTCTGACTAGAATACGCCAAATATATTGCAGCAGTAGTATTAAAACAAATATGGACTGGGATCATTAAATCACAAGTTGCAGACTGGCAGTCTGTAGATAATCAACACATGTTATGTTACTGGCAGTCTGCAGATAATCAAGACATGTTATGTGAAAATTTAGCAATTTCAAATGGCAATGTTTCCTCAAATTTTGGTGCTAAGTAGTACAATAACAGAACAAAATCAACATGTTTTCCAGCAGTTACTGCTAGGTAGATTTGACGACAGATGTGGTTTGTTTAAGTTCTGTTTGACTAGAGCCAGCCGACTTTTTTCTCTCGGCATGTTTCTTGGATTTTATATGATCCTTGACTGTGTCAGCTGTGCTGGCAAAATTTACAAAATAAAACGTCTCCATCTTCATAGAGGTCGTCTGGGAACTGTGATGCCCAAGATTTCGCATTGACTTTTTTTGATAGGATCAAGCCAACGTTTTTTCACACCCGAAATGCTTGGCGAAGGCATCGTTAGCCATGATATGTACATGCACTAACCATGTGACTTTGGCAAACTGGTCCGGTGGGGGATGTCATAAATGTTTCCGAAGCATGGTTCAAGCGCTTACTTGTTTATGCCATGAATTAATGGAAATGAGCACAGGGGAATTGGGATTGGAATGAAAAGCATACAGAATTTCAGTCAAATTCAATACGAATACATGGGATTTTTGTCGACTTGGATTCTTGTTTTTCAAAAACCAAAATTCTGTTTCAGAATGCAGATTCCGCGATCATGGAAAATCATTAGCCTTAGTTATACATTTGCCCAGTCATCTATCTGGATGCGTAGATCGTCATGAGACATTTTATTACTGATGAAAACATTTCACCATTTTGTAAAATGATTTTGAGTTTTTTCAGTATTTGTAGTACTTATTTAACTGAACAGGCTAGTTATATCAAAGTTACTCTGTTACAGTGACAAAGAAGTTCGCCTGGGCAGTCAGCGTTCAACTGACCGCTACATGAGAACTAACAGTCAGGACAAATCTCAGGAATTATATGGAGCTCCAACCTTTGATCCCACTAAGTACCAAGAAAATACACCCAACAGCTCAACAGGTTGGTCCTGTAGTCTGAGCACCCACAGTAATGACCCACGTGGACGCATCAGTCCACCACAACTGAGTGACACCAGCAAACCTTCTATCAGCTCTGCTCTATCTGACCTTTCTTCCCAGGAAGGTACAGAATTCTCCCTCCAAAACACTAAAAAGGCTCTAAATTTTGATGGTGATGCTATGGGCAGCTGGCATGAGAGATGTCCATTGCCAGACCACAAGGCCGGTCAGCGCTACCAGGACAGTCACTCCATGGAGGACAAGTTAGGCTCCAATCGCAACAACAATACAGACATGAAAACTCTCCAAAATAGTGCCAAGGCTAGTACTTCCAACAAGACATTACACGATGTGGTGGCACCTCTGAACTCCTCACGACTGCGACATATCAGACAGAGGACCAGGAATGCAATTGTAAGTGTTTCACGATGATGGTGTATCTATATATATATCAACACAATTTGTATTTATTGACTATGTTTTCTCATCCAGAAATGTAAGAATTTATCATAGGAATTAAAAGTAGGCTGTGAATAATAGTTGACAGATTGGAATCTTTTTATAATGGAGATTTAGTTAACTTGATCTCAAACTTGTCATTTCTAGGTGAACATTCTGGAGTGTGGGGACGTATGTTTGGAATTCCTCAAACAGAAACAGAAGACAGAGAAGGTTGTGGAGGTGTTTCTCATCTCTGTGGATGGAGAAACCATCAATATCTACCAGCCAAACAATGGACGTGGTGAACCTGTGGGTGATGTTCCTGTACCGCTCCCTCCTGTTCCCTCCAAGTCCTTCACTTTCAACACTCTGCCAGAGAAATACTGGAAGAAGTACCAGTATGCCTCCAGGTAAAGAAACTAGCTTATCAAAATAGAAACAAACATAGATATCCCCTCATCTTTTTCTTTTGATCTCAATGTATTGAGAGTTAATCTATTAAGTTCATGAGATATTTTGTACACAAGCTTTTGATTTCAAGAGTGGTTAATAATAGCCTTTGGTCTTTCATCTTGACAGATAACCTTGTAGACTTTGGTGGAGTGATTATGACTTAAATCTGTTCCCGATAGTTTGTGCACTAAGTGATTAATATGTACAAACAAACCCAAACACACCACACACAATTTCATCTATGTTGTGGGGGATGAAGGTTTTATTAATACAGTAACTTAAAGAGAAATGTTACTAGTTGTCAGCAACAAACATACATTCATTCTTTTGGTATTGGAAAAAAGACTTGGCTGTCTTCAAACAGTTTTATCATGTTCATGAATTCAAACAATGGTTGACTTTTCATGCAGGTTTGTGAAGCTGGTACGATCTAAGACGCCAAAAGTCACTTTGTTCACCAGCCGAGCCAAATGCATGCTGATGGAAAACTCACCTGATGCTGATTTTGAAGCCATATTTTATGATGGTATGTATCTCTCAAGGCGACACAGTGATAGCCTTTTATAGCAAGAAACTAAATTTTGTAACAAAATTAATCACTATCCCAATTTATTAAAGTACAATAAAAAGAAGTGACTTTCAATTGAAGCGACTGTAGAAGTTTCATCATTTTTTTTCATCTGTGAAATTTTGGCAATTAGTAATAAGAAAAATTGTAATTCCTATATTGTGGTCAAACTATGTGAAATATGATCTTGATGTCATTTTCATTAAAATACCAGTGTAATTGAAATGATTTATCATATAACTTAAAAGAACAAGTCTATTTTGCCGGTCCAATAGTAATCTCTTGTATGTGATGAATGGATTAGTATTCAAAAAGAGATCCTTGAATACACTCTCTAATACTCTCTATTGTATGATAGATTGCGAAAAATCTTACAAATCTCAAATATGTATTGACATTAGAATAGTAGCCCATGTAAACGGCAGTTTTCTAGAATAATGACAGACTGTTTAATGATGATTAAAGATATTACATCTGTTGGGGAAATGAGGAAAGAGTGAGATGTGAATTATATGGTATTTGAAGGGTCCTATGTAGTGGATGGGACATTGAGCTCCAGTAGAGGGGAAGGCAGGTGTGCCCCTCCTCGCAGTAAGTTTGACACCTGTGGCCAGTCCCTACACTTACAAAAACTCTCCGCCCCTCCACACTGTAAATCCCATTCTTACAATTCAATCATGAAAATTTAGATTATATATGATGTTATAGAGGGGAAAAAAACAAATTAGAAAGGGAGAAAAAAACACTTTTTCTCCAGGCTTGAATTTTGTTTCTTAGGGTAACAGGAAGTATAGAATAAGTACAATTATGCTATGCTTTCAATTAACAAAGTTTCAAACTTTACAAAAATAAAGGGGAAAAAAAGAAATTCATGATATTTTAAAAGTTATCAAAATGAATGCTTTGAAGTATTTATTAACTGATGGATCATTTAAACGACAAATAAAGCTATTAGAGTTTAATTGTTATTAAATCATAACTGGAAAACAAAAACATTGTATAACTGAAAGTATTAATAAAGTTTCATTAAACATAAGAAAACTGGCGGAGAGTTGCGTGGGTGCTGTGCCATCTACACATATGTCTGTGCTTGTTTGTTGGTGTGTTTCTTGACCTGATGGGTCAGATCTCAAGCATGGTGATCCTTCCTACACAGCCCAAACCTAATGTTTTTATTATGCCATTTTCTCTGTGACAAAAGTCTGAGTGCCTGGTACTGTGATATTTCTGGTGTTTTGTGAAATGCTTTTCTATCTCTCTACAGACAAATTTTCCTATCTTGTTTGTATACCAGCATGTGAACTGTTCCATGTCCCTTTTTTATCTGCTTTTCTACCTGATGTCTTTGCAGATGTGATTTTTTTAAATACATTTTCTATCATTTATCATATTTTTGATACTTAATAGCACCTTGATGTGTAATCTATTAAACTACATTTTATAATGCTTTAATGTAAACCACATTTTAAATAATTTTGGTTGATGCATATATTGCAATATTGAATACCCTGATTTGCCAGCTTTGATAATGGTTTTTAGCATGAATATATCCAGGATTCTCCTGTATTGTAATCACACATTATATTTTTTACATTTAACTATCCGGTGAGGTACTTGTGTCTTACAACTATTTACATGTATTCCTTTTATTTCAGGTGCCAAATTTACAATAAATTCCACAAATACAAGAATAATAGAAAAGTCTGGGACATCTTTAGTCCTGGATTCTGTAGTGGCGGAGGAGAGATTAACCGAGGACACACAACAACTGCTTGTTTATGTCAAACAGGTGAGTCTTTCCCAGGGTACAACATGGGGAAATTCATTGAAAGTTCTTTCTCATTAAAGCAATTTTGTTCCTGTGAAGTAAAGTGAGATTCATATTTAATTGTAATTGTATGCTGAGTTAAGATCAGGACAGACAGCAGGCTGAATTTCATGAGTTCTGGTTATCACTGCATATTTCACTTTTCCTAATACTTACATGTTTTAGCTACTGTTTGACCTCTGCTGAAGAGCCTAGAAAAAGTAATGATATTGTTGTATATTGTGTTACAGTGTCGACAACAGTGCCTAGAGATTGAATCTGTGATCGGTGCTGTACAGCAAAGATGTGCTTTAAAAACACATTTCTTTCCCATCATTATTGGCAGGTAAGCTCTTACAAATATTATTTGTTGTAAATGCGACATTCAGCTGAAACCTTTTGATTATCACAAAAGTTTTTAAAAAAAAATCCCTGTATGCATTCAGATAATTTTGAAAATTTTGTCAAATGTACGTGTTTAAGCCACATTCTATTTACCCTTTCCAGTCGCCCAAAAAACCAGAATTTAAATGATTCTGGTCGGTCCACATCAACAAGTGGAACAGGACCCAGCTCTGGAGCTTTTGAGAACATGAGCACCCCATCATCTGGATCACGACCTTCTCCTTCTGTGGTATGTCAAGCCAATATTCTCTCCTCCACTGGAATTAAAAGATACCAATATATATGGTTATATGTATAGTCTGTTGAACAGGTAGTAAGAGCCCTGTGTATTAATCTGTATAGCGGTACAGACAGAAAATTTACTATCGATAGAGGTGATTTTAGTCTTGAAATCAGAAATTTTTACTGGAATTATTTCCTTAAATAATAGCATTATGGTTGTGTAATTTGAGATTTTGTATGATTGATGATTAGGAGGATTTAGCTTTAAATTGATGCATGTCTGTTTTACAGATGACATCGTTTGATGGGACAGTGGTTAGCACGATGACAGACTGTGTTGACCAGTCTGTGAATGATTCCCAGGATCGTACCCTTAAGTCTGAAGCTGTGCGGCTGTCAGCCGAGAAGTTAGGGGTGGAGAAACTTACTGGCGGGTTAGAGAAACTGGGCACTGGGGCAGAGCGAGGGGCAAATACAAGCCCTACCTCCAGTCATAGTGGAGGCAGTCAGCTGCGAAAGGGTGGCCATGACATCACACGCCAAGTGTATGTACCTGATGTGGGCATCGCCTCTCAGGTAAGTGCTTCAATAATATTGAAAAGATATTTGATGCAAAGCAGCCCAAAGCCTTTTGTTTGTAACAAAGTAATTCATATACAAAGTTTTTTGACCAAAGGTGCAGAGTGTATGTTTTAGTAATAAGTTATTTATCTATTTACAGCTCACCAACGGCGAAATCTGGGTCAAATTCAATGATGGCACTCAACTTGGTGTGCGCTCAACCACTACCACTATCAAGTTTGTTGATGCACAGGGAAAGCTCTTCAGGTACTTATTGCTTACTGAGTCCATCAAAAGTTTGAAACAGTCTATTTACAAAGTTTTTAGGACAGTATATACACAGGATTTATGACTGTCTATATACACAGGTTTTAGGACAGTCTATTCACACAGGTTCTAAGACAGTCTATATATATACACTTGTTTCAGAACTGTCTATATACACAGGTTCTAAGACAGTCTATATACACAGGTTTTAGGACAGTCTATTCACACAGGTTCTAAGACAGTCTATATATATACACTTGTTTCAGAACTGTCTATATACACAGGTTTTAGGACAGTCTTATTCACACAGGTTCTAAGAAGTCTATATACAAAGGTTTTAGGACAGTCTATTCACACAGGTTTTATGACTGTCTATATACAAAGGTTTTAGGACAGTCTATTCACACAGGTTTTAGGACTGTCTATATACACAGGTTTTAGGACTGTCTATATACACAGGTTTTAGGACAGTCTATTCACACAGGTTCTAAGACAGTCTATATATATACACTTGTTTCAGAACTGTCTATATACACAGGTTTTAGGACAGTCTTATTCACACAGGTTCTAAGAAGTCTATATACAAAGGTTTTAGGACAGTCTATTCACACAGGTTTTATGACTGTCTATATACAAAGGTTTTAGGACAGTCTATTCACACAGGTTTTAGGACTGTCTATATACACAGGTTTTAGGACTGTCTATATACACAGGTTTTAGGACAGTCTATTCACACAGGTTCTAAGACAGTCTATATATATACACTTGTTTCAGAACTGTCTATATACACAGGTTCTATGACAGTCTATTCACACAGGTTCTAAGACAGTCTATATACACAGGTTTTAGGACAGTCTTATTCACACAGGTTCTAAGACAGTCTATATACACAGGTTTTAGGACAGTCTTATTCACACAGGTTCTAAGACTGTCTATATACACAGGTTTTAGGACTGTCTATATACACAGGTTTTAGGACAGTCTATTCACACAGGTTCTAAGACAGTCTATATATATACACTTGTTTCAGAACTGTCTATATACACAGGTTCTATGACAGTCTATTCACACAGGTTCTAAGACAGTCTATATACAAAGGTTTTAGGACAGTCTATTCACACAGGTTTTATGACTGTCTATATACAAAGGTCTTAGGACAGTCTATTCACACAGGTTTTAGGACTGTCTATATACACAGGTTTTAGGACTGTCTATATATTCAGGTTTTAGGACAATTATCAGCCAGAAGCTTTTTACACAATCACTATATTACAAAGTAGTTTAGAAACTCAGGGACTGGAATTAGATTTGAATATTCGATAAAAACTACTTAATGTACATTTAATAGTATAAATCATGAATTTATCATCTTTTAGAAATGCTAAAATTTTGGCAAAAGATCAATTAATGAATATGATTTGTTATTTCAGGTTTCAGAAGACCGATATTTTACCAGACCTTGTCAAGTTACGTCTAGGGAAGGTGCCTGTCGTGCTAGAGCACTTACTACAACAAGAGCGTTCTGTGGTGGGACACAATTATGCTCGATAGTCTGTGCCAACACACTCCCTTATGGTGCCATACTGAACTTGTTTTACTCCCAATCATGGTTGTCTCACCTGAGAACGCACATTCTCCAATTTGTTACTGGACAGTATTGAGATTAGTATGTGAGCTACTGGTGATGGGGCCAAGGTGCTGTGATATCTCTCTACTCAATTTCTTTTGCTCATATTTTTACTCTGTCATCTGTTTATTTCTACAATGTAAACACTCATTTCCTCTTCACTGAATTTGTATTTCTTACCTTCATATTGTGTGTCTATCATGAATATTCACAGTTTTAACTAGTCATTTACAGTGAATATGTTTGACATGGTTTTAATTTGTTGTGAATATACATTGATAGACCAATCATTATTTATTTGTATAAATGTTTAATTTTTAAGTAAATCTTCATAGGCAGCTATTTGTATGTCTTAGTGGTCGTTAGTGTATTGGGGACATTTGTACTGAATAGTTGTAAGTAAGTGATAGGCGTATGTACAGAAAGTCTATATATTTGTAAGTATTTGTAAGAAAGATTTGTAAACATTATGTACAAAGAGTATATATTTCTGTGTATTCATGAGAGGTGAGTATACATCATGTACAGAGAGTATATATATTTCTACATATGTACTTGTGAGAAAGATGGGTACTCATTGTGTATACATCCTGTACAAAAGTATATGTAGTTTCTGGTATATTTAAGGAAGAATATCTATAACATCACCTGTATGTAAATTTTCCTTTTTGAGTTGAAAGGAGAAAGAAAAATGTATAAACGATATGCAGGATATGTCCGTCAGCAGCATGTTCTTGTAAATGTAGAAAGTGAAAGTACTGAAAGTATTGAGGGTTGTACTGAGCTGTGTAAGTAGAAAATTGGGTGAGTTTTGTATGTATGGAGAGATACATACCTGTATGACATAACATAATCATGTGTCTATTAGTCTCTTGTCTGAACCTTTGACTTCAATCAAGGTTGTGTTCAGGTGAGTTCCTGTTAGTGCTAGATTAGCATTAAGCTTGTCCACCTCATAGAATGACCTTCTGCAGATGAAAGAAAACTTAAAAAGCACTACCCCCTTTACATCAGTGAAAAAACTTGTCAGTTAAAAAACATCAAAGATCAATTCAGACCAATTCAAATTTATACCGGCATACGTCTCCATGGTCAAAGTATAGTGTTGTTCAGTAACTGAAAAATCTGACCACAAGGGTATGTGTATCAAGTGTTTTCCCTGAACCCTCTAATATCTTTTTTACTACATTGATCAGTGCTACATACTATTTTGTTTTGTGCTAGACTTTGCCATGTAGCTAAATTAACTTCTCTTCAGAAAATATACAGATAAAATACTTAGCTTAGAAATTATATTTGTAAAAATCTGTTGTCATTTTTTAGTTAATTTTAATAGGTTAATTTTTGTTTATGATTCTTAAATTATTTTATTTAATAAAAATTTATATTTTAAATCACAATTGTAAAAGAGTAACAAAGATAGATTTCTGGAACAATGTTTTACAGCATTTTAGTGCAGTTTTTATTTAAATTATTGCCATTATTATATTATATTACAAATGTTTTAACAAACTCAACATTACAAACATAAAACATTGGCATAAAGACAAACAGTATTTTTACAGATAATTTACTTTTATAATGCATTTGTTCTTTTCAATTATAGTATAAACATGGATTTGTTAGTGAGTCATGTGACAGCATTCCTGCAATCATGAAGCCTGTTACTCTCTGGTTTAAAATCATACAGTACATCACACCTAGTCTATTGTATGTGAAATAAAGGCATTAATCATAGTAATATTTTGTCTTTTATCATTTGTTAATACTGTCTGGCTATCTTGTTCTCCCACATGGAACTTACTCATGTATATTATATTTATACCCTCTATCTTGGAGGTTAGGATAGTATCATTTTGTTCAAACATACTTCAACAGAAAAAAGTTATCTCTCTAAGACATCTCATGAATCCCTTCAAAGGTTTAGATCAAGTCAAAACACAAAAGTATTACAATTCCTAAGTCTTTTTAATTAACATCATAGAGTTGTCCCACACAGAGATGTATTTCATAACTTTACTGTCACTGATTCATCTGATTGTCGAGTTAAAATGGCCATGTGGTGACCTGCTTAAATCATTAAAAATAATAGAATGCATGATAATTGATCATCAATTAAGAAAGTGAAAATCCATTTTTATGCTTAGAGCATTTTCAATGCTCTTCAGCATGTTGCTGTCGCCCCCGGCCCTGAGTATCAGTACTTCGTTTTCATTGAATCATGTAGTCAAAATGGTATTGAAGCGTACCATAACATCTTAATGTATACATATGTTAACTGACAGTAAAATAAAATTGATGGATAGGTCTTTTTACTTGATGACTCTTTAAAACATTCTGTCATCTTCACTTGAAGGACTACGACCAAATGTATTACGTGATAAATGGTTGGTGACATAGTAATTGATAAATAACATTTTTAAGCATTCTGTTTAATAGTGTGTCTTAAGAGAAGATATATTCTGCAATTAAGAACTATGTAAAATAGTGTATGAAATTAAGAATAATCTGAGTCATGCAAATAAAACCAGGAAATGGAGGTTGTGAAAGCATCAGATTACAATACCATAAAAACAACTATTTATGTGTAAAGAACTAGTTTCTATGAAAAAATCATCTTGATAGAGCAAACATTACTGGCATGTCAGGGAAAGACTTAATGATGTCACTGAGGACCATGTCGCATCACTGGGGACAACATCAGCTACTGACATCACGGGACAACATTAGCTTCTGACATCACTGAGGACAAGATCAGCTACTGACATCACGGGACAACATTAGCTACTGACATCACTGAGGACAACATCAGCTACTGACATCACTGAGGACAACATCAGCTACTGACATCACTGAGGACAAATCAGTTACTGACATCACTGGGGACAACATCAGCTACTGACATCACAAAGGACAACATTAGCTAATGACATAACTAAGGACAACATTAGCTACCGACATCACTGGGGACAACATTAGCTACTGACGTCACTGGGGACAACATCAGCTACTGACATCACTGAGGACAACATCAGCTACTGACATCACTGAGGACATCATTTACAGACATTTCTTGTAATTATATCATTTACTTTAATCACAGGGTAACCTCGATGAGACTGGCATCACTGGGGACAATATCATTGACTGATATTACAGGATAAAATCACTGAAGATGACATCATTGATTGACATCACTGGATAACATCACTAAGGACGACATTGACTTGACATCACAGGATAACATCACTGAAGATGACATCACTGATGACAACAATATTGACTGACATTACAGGATAACATCACTGAGGATGACATCATTGACTGACATCACAGGATAACATCACTAAGGACGACATCATTGACTGACATCACAGGATAACATCACTGAAGATGACATCACTGGATAACATCACTGAGGACAACATTGACTTGACATCACAGGATGACATCACTGAGGACGACATCATTGACTGACATAGGATAACATCACTGAGGACGACATCATTGACTGACATCACAGGATAACATCACTGAGGATGACATCATTGACTGACATCACAGGATAACATCACCGGGAATGACATCATTGACTGACATCACAGGATAACATCACCGGGAATGACATCATTGACTGACATCACAGGATAACATCACTGAGGATGACATCATTGACTGACATCACAGGATAATATCACTAGGGATGACATCACAGGATAACATCACTGGGGATGACATTACTAGGGATGACATCATTGACTTGACATCACAGGATAACATCACTGAGGACGACATCATTGACTTGACATCACAGGATAACATCACTGAGGATGACATCACAGGATAACATCACTGAGGATGACATCACAGGATAACATCACTGAGGATGACATCACAGGATAACATCACTGAGGATGACATCATTGACTGACATTACAGGATAACATCACTGAAGATGACATCACTGACGACAACAATATTGACTGACATTACAGGATAACATCACTGAGGATAACATCATTGACTGACATCACAGGATAACATCACTGAGGATGACATCATTGACTGACATTACAGGATAACATCACTGAGGATGACATCACTGAGGATGACATCATTGACTGACATCACTGAGAACAAAATCATTGACTGGTATCACTTGATAACATCACTGAGGATGACATCATTGACATTACAGGATAACATCACTGAGGATGACATCACTGAGGACGACATCATTGACTGACATAACAGGATAACATCACTGGGGACGACATCACAGGATAACATCACTGAGGATGACATCACTGTGGATGACATCACAGGATAACATCACTGGGGACGACATCATTGACTGACATTACAGGATAACATCACTGAGGATGACATCATTGAGTGACATCACAGGATAACATCACTGAAGATGACATAGGATAACATCACTGAAGATGACATCACTGGATAACATCACTGAGGACAACATTGACTTGACATCACAGGATGACATCACTGAGGACGACATCATTGACTGACATAGGATAACATCACTGAGGACGACATCATTGACTGACATCACAGGATAACATCACTGAGGATGACATCATTGACTGACATTACAGGATAACATCACTGGGGATGACATCATTGCTGACATTACAGGATAACATCACTGAGGATGACATCACTGACAACAACAATATTGACTGACATCACAGGATAACATCACTGGGGATGACATCATTGCTGACATGACACAGGATAACAACATTACAGGATAACATCACTGAGGATGACATCACTGACAACAACAATATTGACTGACATCACAGGATAACATCACTGGGGATGACATCATTGCTGACATTACAGGATAACATCACTGAGGATGACATCACTGACAACAACAATATTGACTGACATTACAGGATAACATCACTGAGGATGACATCATTGACTGACATCACAGGATAACATCACTGAGACATCATTGACTGACATCACAGGATAACATCACTGGGGATGACATCATTGCTGACATTACAGGATAACATCACTGGGGACGACATTATTGACTGACATCACAGGATAACATCACTGAGGACGACATCATTGCTGACATCACAGGATAACATCACTGGGGATGACATCATTGCTGACATTACAGAATAACATCACTGGGGACGACATTATTGACTGACATCACAGGATAACATCACTGAGGACGACATCATTGCTGACATCACAGGATAACATCACTGAGGACGACATCATTGACTGACATCACAGGATAACATCACTGAGAACGACATCATTGACTGGCATCATTGAGGACGACATCATTGACTAGCATCACTGAGAATGACATCATTGACACTAGCAATTAATGATATCACTTGATCAGACATCATTTACTAAGATAACTAGGTTATTGACATCACAAGGGACAATATAATTGAGGACATTATTTTCTGGCATGACAGCTGGAAGATATAAACTGACAACACTGAGAAAAACATTATTTTCTGACATTGTTAAGAATGACATCATTTGAAACCTTGACTGGCTTTACTAAGAATGACATAATTTACAGATATCACTGGGTAAAACATTTACAGATATCACTGGTAAAACATGTACAGACATCACTTGGTAAAACATTTACAGATATCACTGGGTAAAACATTTACAGATATCACTGGTAAAACATGTACAGACATCACTGGGTAAAACATTTACAGATATCACTGGGTAAAACATTTACAGATATCACTGGGTAAAACATTTACAGACATCACTTGGTAAAACATTTACAGATATCACTGGGTAAAACATTTACAGATATCACTGGGTAAAACATTTACAGATATCACTGGGTAAAACATTTACAGATATCACTGGGTAAAACATTTACAGATATCACTGGTAAAACATGTACAGACATCACTGGGTAAAACATTTACAGATATCACTCGGTAAAACATTTACAGATATCACTGGGTAAAACATTTACAGATATCACTGGGTAAAACATTTACAGATATCACTCACTGGGTAAAACATTTACAGATATCACTGGGTAAAACATTTACAGATATCACTGGGTAAAACATTTACAGATATCACTGGGTAAAACATTTACAGACCTCACTGGGTAAAACATTTACAGATATCACTGGTAAAACATGTACAGACATCACTGGGTAAAACATTTACAGATATCACTGGGTAAAACATTTACAGATATCACTGGGTAAAACATTTACAGACCTCACTGGGTAAAACATTTACAGACATCACTGGGTAAAACATGTACAGACATCACTGGGTAAAACATTTACAGACATCACTGGGTAAAACATTTACAGATATCACTGGTAAAACATGTACAGACATCACTGGGTAAAACATTTACAGATATCACTGGGTAAAACATTTACAGATATCACTGGGTAAAACATTTACAGATATCACTGGTAAAACATGTACAGATATCACTGGGTAAAACATGTACAGATATCACTGGGTAAAACATTTACAGACCTCACTGGGTAAAACATTTACAGATATCACTGGTAAAACATGTACAGACATCACTGGGTAAAACATTTACAGACATCACTGGGTAAAACATTTACAGATATCACTGGGTAAAACATTTACAGACATCACTGGGTAAAACATTTACAGATATCACTGGGTAAAACATTTATAGATATCACTGGGTAAAACATTTACAGACATCACTTGGTAAAACATTTACAGAAGACACATTTTTAGATATCAATGCAGAAGTTTACTGACATTATTGCATCAACACCCTCTCTCAATGTCCCCATTAGATTTTTTCCTGAACTGAAGAAGCTCATCCCTCAACACCACCACCACTGGAGAAAGAAGCTTGAAAAACAACACCAATTACAGACGCTTCAATTTACTTCTGTGAATTGAGGGTTCAGCTAGGTAAGCTGTCAGGCTGGGCCTCTTGTTTATTGTTTCAATTTTCAGGTACCACACATGTACAGCTGGTTATAAATGTGATCTGCTACCAATGCATCTAGATATCACAAATACACATGTATGACTGGCTGTTGTTGATCTTTGTACATCTTAATCTGTTTAGTACTTGTGTACTTTAAGTATATATTATCTAAGTGATGATCTTTGTTTTCCGGTTCACATGTTCAATGGACAGTGTTGTGTAAATGCTGATGTATTGAGTTCCAACTGATGTTACTTCCCTTTCAACCTTTGCTCTATTGATTTTACAGCGTGTTTCACTGTAACGGCTGCTGATAGCTGGAAGAGATCAAAGTGTAAGTAGCTGTCCCTGCTCGGCATGTGTAGATACTAATACAGGATAGACAAACTGTGTGTCAATCAGGTAAGACATTTCAATCACTGTTATTTCATTAAATACAAGTTTCTCTCAGGTATCAACCCCTACTACTAAGTATTTTATGTTTTTGTTGCATTTGTCTTATTTAGCTTCCATAGTATCATCTCCTAGCCTCTCCCTTTCTACTGAGTATTTTCAGTTGCCATGGTAATGTCTCCTAGCCTCTCCCTTTCTACTGAGTATTTTCAGTTGCCATGGTAATGTCTCCTAGCCTCTCCCTTTCTACTGAGTATTTTCAGTTGCCATGGTAATGTCTCCTAGCCTCTCCCTTTCCAATGAGTATTTTCAGTTGCCATCGTAATGTCTTCTAGCCTCTCCCTTTCTACTGAGTATTTTCAGTTGCCATGGTAATGTCTCCTAGCCTCTCCCTTTCTACTGAGTATTTTCAGTTGCCATGGTAATGTCTCCTAGCCTCTCCCTTTCTACTGAGTATTTTCAGTTGTCATGGTAATGTCTCCTAGCCTCTCCCTTTCTTCTGAGAATTTTCAGTTGCCATGGTAATGTCTCCTAGCCTCTCCCTTTCTACTGAGTATTTTCAGTTGCCATGGTAATGTCTCCTAGCCTCTCCCTTTCTTCTGAGTATTTTCAGTTGCCATGGTAATGTCTCCTAGCCTCTCCCTTTCTTCTGAGTATTTTCATTTTCCATGATATTGTCTCCTAGTGTCATCCTCACTGCTTGATTTTTTGGGAAACAAAGATATTGCATCGAAACCTTTCATTCACTGCTCCAGAATTTTCAATATCCTCAACTGCAAAGAGTTTTCCAAATCCTCTCTGACTGATCTGTCATGGTCACCCTTCATTATAATTATAATCTGGCCAGACTGACCTTTCAAGGTCACTTTTTATTATAAATATAATCTGGCCTAGTGTCATCCTCACTGTCATTTTTATTATAATTATAATCTGGCCGGAAACTTTCATGTTCACTCTTTATTATAATTATAATCTGGCCAGACTGACCTTTCAAGGTCACTTTTTATTATAAATATAATCTGGCCAGACTGACCTTTCAAGGTCACTTTTTATTATAATTATAATCTGGCCGGACTAAACTTTCATGTTCACTCTTTATTATAATTATAATCTGGCCAGACTGACCTTTCAAGGTCACTTTTTATTATAAATATAATCTGGCCAGACTGACCTTTCAAGGTCACTCTTTATTATAATTATAATCTGGCCAGACTGACCTTTCAAGGTCACTTTTTATTATAATTATAATCTGGCCAGACTGACCTTTCAAGGTCACTTTTTATTATAATTATAATCTGGCCAGACTGACCTTTCAAGGTCACTTTTTATTATAATTATAATCTGGCCAGACTGACCTTTCAAGGTCACTTTTTATTATAAATATAATCTGGCCAGACTGACCTTTCAAGGTCACTCTTTATTATAATTATAATCTGGCCAGACTGAACTTTCATGTTCACTCTTTATTATAGATATTGTCTGGCTAGACTGACCTGTGTTGCCAGCCTGCCTGTGGTGGTCACCCTTTACTTAAGAAATTGATTACAGTCAATATATTGGAAACATAGACAAATGACTTAATACATTTAACAGGTGGTCATACTTCAGAATCAATGTTTTAGTCTAGATTGGATATTACAGGTAAAATGTGATGCTAGTCAGACAGGACATGAATCATTAAATGTTTATAAGATGCCATCTGTAATTTCATTACATTAAAAAGGTGACCACAATCAAAAGTCAAGATGGCTGATCAACCAGGCAAGAAAATGACAGACTACCAGGAACAGGGTCTGTTACATGAGATGTTTTCCCGCCAGGCAGAAGTCACACCGTCTCAGGTGGCACTGGTAGAAGAGAATGGCTGTCAAATGACTTTCAGAGAACTGGAGGATCAAACCAACATCCTGGCTAGTTACCTTTGTAGTCAGGGTGTGGTCACAGACAGAAGTGTTGGGATCTATCTCAACAAAAGCATAAACTTTTCACTGTCCTACATAGCTATCCTAAAGGCTGGTAAGTCTCCTTGTCCTACATAGTTATCCTTAAGGCTGGTAAGTATTCCTTCCCTACATAATTGTAAAAAAAGCTGGTGATTGAGTTATTCCTTGTGAGGGCTGTTTGTGGTTCTTGTGATATGATCCTCTCTCACACCAATTCTTGTAAGAGCAGCAATGTTAATGTATTCATACCATAAACTGCTATTTTAACTGAAATTCATTTAATACATAGTTTAAAACATTTACTACCATAAAAAACGTTGACACATAATCGAATTGTTTCCTTTTGAAGGAGGAGCCTACCTGCCACTTGATGTTGCTTACCCACCATCCCTACTACATTCAATACTCGATGATGCTGATCCTGTTGTTATCATCACATCTCCAGACCTTGTCTCTGCTCTTCCAGGTAACAATATATATTGTCATTACATCTCCAGACCTTGTCTCTGCCCTTCCAGGTAACAATATATATTGTCATTACATGTCCAGACCTTGTCTCTGCCCTTCCAGGTAACAATATATATTGTCATTACATCTCCAGACCTTGTCTCTGCCCTTCCAGGTAACAATATATATTGTCATTACATGTCCAGACCTTGTCTCTGCCCTTCCAGGTAACAATATATATTGTCATTACATGTCCAGACCTTGTCTCTGCCCTTCGAGGTAACAATATATATTGTCATTACATCTCCAGACCTTGTCTCTGCCCTTCCAGGTAACAATATATATTGTCATTACATCTCCAGACCTTGTCTCTGCCCTTCCAGGTAACAATATATATTGTCATTACATGTCCAGACCTTGTCTCTGCCCTTCCAGGTAACAATATATATTGTCATTACATCTCCAGACCTTGTCTCTGCCCTCCCAGGTAACAATATATATTGTCATTACATGTCCAGACCTTGTCTCTGCCCTTCCAGGTAACGATATATATTGTCATTACATCTCCTGAACTTGTCTCTGCCCTTCCAGGTAACAATATATATTGTCATTACATGTCCAGACCTTGTCTCTGCCCTTCCATTTCAGCATTAACAATGTTTTTTTTTTTTTTTTTTTTGTAATTTCTAAATTGATGACCCTTCAGTGGTAAGAAGTAAATGGGAAATGTTTGTCCAAAGTTTTTGTGTGTGATTTTTTTCCCAATAATGCAGAATCTTGTTGTCAACTTTTAAATCAATTTCTTAGGTCAGACACAGAATAACAATACACAACTGCGCTCAAAGAGTAATTATAACATTGTATCATTTTTGTCTTTCAGATGTAAGGTGATTAATCATCATCATTTACAACTACATCTATAAATATTTGACAGTTTTCAATTTTGTATTTTCATAACAAGAAGACAGAAAAAATGTCCTGGTATTAAAAAAGGGATGGTCAGAGGAACTGGACATCAAAAAGAACATTGACCAAACAAAAAAGGCTGACAGTGAAGTGACGCTGGACAGTCTGGCTTATATTGTGTATTCTTCAGGAACAACAGGAAAACCTAAAGGTACTACAGAGTAGTGTTTGGGTGGAGTACATCCTGCATATAACCTAGAGGTACTACAGAGTGGTGTTAGGGTGGAGTACATCCTACACATAACCTAGAGGTACTACAGAGTGGTGTTAGGGTGTAGTACATCCTACACATAACCTAGAGGTACTACAGAGTAGTGTTAGGGTGGAGTACACCCTACATATAACCTAGAGGTACTACAGTAGAGGTACTACAGAGTGGTGTTAGGGTGGAGTACATCCTACATATAACCTAGAGGTACTACAGAGTGGTGTTAGGGTGGAGTACATCCTACACATAACCTAGAGGTACTACAGAGTAGTGTTAGGGTGGAGTACATCCTACACATAACCTAGAGGTACTACAGAGTGGTGTTAGGGTGTAGTACATCCTACACATAACCTAGAGGTACTACAGAGTGGTGTTAGGGTGGAGTACATCCTACACATAATCTAGAGGTACTACAGAGTGGTGTTAGGGTGTAGTACATCCTACATATAACCTAGAGGTACTACAGAGTGGTGTTAGGGTGTAGTACATCCTACATATAACCTAGAGGTACTACAGAGTGGTGTTAGGGTGGAGTACATCCTACATATAACCCCTAGAGGTACTACAGAGTGGTGTTAGGGTGGAGTACATCCTACATATAACCTAGAGGTACTACAGAGTAGTGTTAGGGTGGAGTACATCCTACATATAACCTAGAGGTACTACAGAGTGGTGTTAGGGTGGAGTACATCCTACATATAACCTAGAGGTACTACAGAGTGGTGTTAGGGTGTAGTACATCCTACATATAACCTAGAGGTACTACAGAGTAGTGTTAGGGTGGAGTACATCTATGTTTTATTTTACTCTCACACCTCACCACACAAAAATTTACTTTACAGGTATTATGTGTCCTCACAGAGGGTCAGTTTTCTCCTACCACTGGCGCCATGTAGCATTCCCCTACCATCCTGAGGACAGAGAGGCTTGCAATGTCTTCTTTACCTGGGAAATGTTACGGCCTCTCCTTAAAGGTAAGAATTACCATTCCTTAAAGTATTTAACAGTCACCTGTTAAAGATAGGAATTTCTGATTACTCCTCAGAGGTCTCCAGTACTTACCTCCCTTAAATGTCAGTATGTTATTATAGAGTGAGTAGCCCATTGTGGTTCTTGTATTTTGATGTGATGTCTCTGTGTGGTTCCCAGGTATCCCTATGTACATTATCCCAAACACTGTTATCTATGATCCACCATTGTTATGCGACTTCTTGGAGGAACACAAGATCACGCGCATGCTGTTCACGCCATCACTCTTGGAGGCTGTTCTGAATACCTCAGGACTTGACCTGAAAAGCAAGCTTAAAAGTATGAGGTATGTACTTCTGTGTACACATTAGGCTTGAAACTCGACTTAAAAACAAATCTTTAGAATATAATGATGTAGGATGGTGCCTTAAGTAAAATAGCGAACGTCCTAAAGTCCTACAAAAATAGCAAAATAGAATCTGAAAAGTTTGAGTAAACAAAACAATTCTCCAGGTAAATAAATAACAGTGATCTGAAAATGATCTACTGTGATTCACACAGGGTAACATACTTACATTGTAAATACTAGTTGGTGTTTTTAACTGAATAAATTAATTCCCTGGTGTCACCATAGCTAGCTTAGACCATTGTCCGAAGCCGTTGTACTATTTTCTCTCAGACAGATCTTGTTCTGTGGGGAAGTGGTCACCACAGCTCTATTTGACCGTTGTTTGAAGCTGTTACCATGGATACAGTTCCTGAACCTGTACAGTGTGTCCGAATGTCATGATGTGGCATGTGAAGATCTTGGAGAATACTTCCAAAACAATAAAGTATAACAAACAGTTTTTTATGATTAAAGTTAATTGATGGTTTAATTACATATATATGAGTTGGAAATAAGATTTTATCAGTCACAGATTCACCTGAATTATCTCTATGCAAAATCTCACAAATTCATTTTCTTATTAAAGAGGAAAAATATTAACACCAATATGTGACACTATCACAAGGTGTCACATTGTAAGATACAATCACTTAAATTCAGTCTGATACAATCTTTATTTTTAACACATCTTGCATCAGGTTGCTGTGTTGTGATAACATAACAGCTGAAATTTCAATATAAAACTTTATACTACAGGGAGTTATAAACTCACGAAAGTTTTGTCCAGTTGGACGGATATTACCTGGGGTAGAAGTGGTCATTCTTGATGACCAGTACAATCCACAACCAGTAGGAAGCTCAGGGGAGGTAAGTAGAACTAGGATCCATTTTTTGAAAATCTTCTGTGTAGATTTATATGTTCATGTGATACCTTTTGAAAGCCAGTACAATATACTAAACCCTTTATGAGAATTGCTTTATGTCAAAAGCTGTATGCATAATGGTTAATGTGATATGTTTTGCTTAAGGTTACTGGTAAGTAGAACTGGAGGGGATATACGAAGCGTCCATGGTTTTCAGTAGGCAAAGTGCAGCTGTAGAACATTCCGCATCTCAAAATACTGGAGCCTTGAAGTACTAAACATTAAGCATATTTCATTCAGCATAACACATGAAGCATTTTGCATTCAGCATAAAACATTATTCTATATTATCATATAACAGAATCTCAAAATACTGGAGCCTTGATGTACTACACATTAAGCATTTTTAATTCAGCATTTCCCACAATGCATTTTGCATACAGCATTAAAAGTGTTATTCAATACAGTATATTTTACCATATATTATAATATACTTTATACTTTGTTTATTGTTCATTTACATACAATGTCTCAAACCAATAAACAAATGACATCAACTCTGAATATTTATATATGACGACATAAGCCAACTAAACATTTATTGCTCTCAGAAAGACATTCCTAGATATTTTCTAATGACATTCCATCATCATTAAAATTTCAAAACAAATCAGAATTAGAGATAAAGCATTAAGCAAAAAGCATTTCCCATTTGGCATAAAACAATTAGAAAACATCAAAATAATTGCTGTATATATAGCCCCAGTGCACTTCAGATGTTCATATAGTTTGCCTCACTAATAATAGGCCCAGTGTACCTCTACATAGATCAGTTGTACCTATATATGTGTCCCTAATGAGCTTATGTACACCTGAATATACCACTATATCGACCAGCTGTTGTCTTTATTAGATCTATGTGGGAGGTCCTACTCTGGCCAGAGGGTACCTTAACCGTCCAGAGCAGCAGGCTGTTAGGTTTATAACCCGACCTGCATCAGTACCTAAAGGAATTGGAGATAAACTGTACCGCACTGGTGATTGGGGATACATGCTGTCTGATGGGAGTCTGGAGATCTGTGGAAGATGTGATTCAATGGTTAAAATCAGGGGCTACTCCATAGAGGTACAGGTAAGTGTTTGTACTGACAATCGTGAACTACAAAGTACAGTTGCAGGTAAGTGTTTGTACTGACAATCGTTGACTACAAAGTACAAATTACAGGTAAGTGTTTGTACTGACAATTGTGGACTACAAAGTACAGTTACAGGTAAGCGTTTGTACTGACAATCGTGGACTACAAAGTACAGTTACAGGTAAGTGTTTGTACTGACAACCGTGGACTAAAGTACAGTTACAGGTAAGTGTTTGTACTGACAATCGTGGACTACAAAGTACAGTTACAGGTAAGTGTTTGTACTGACAACCGTGGACTACAAAGTACAGTTACAGGTAAGCGTTTGTACTGACAACCGTGGACTACAAAGTACAGTTACAGGTAAGCGTTTGTACTGACAACCGTGGACTACAAAGTACAGTTACAGGTAAGCGTTTGTACTGACAACCGTGGACTACAAAGTACAGTTACAGGTAAGCGTTTGTACTGACAATCGTGGACTACAAAGTACAGTTACAGGTAAGTGTTTGTACTGACAACCGTGGACTAAAGTACAGTTACAGGTAAGTGTTTGTACTGACAATCGTGGACTACAAAGTACAGTTACAGGTAAGCGTTTGTACTGACAACCGTGGACTACAAAGTACAGTTACAGGTAAGCGTTTGTACTGACAACCGTGGACTACAAAGTACAGTTACAGGTAAGCGTTTGTACTGACAACCGTGGACTACAAAGTACAGTTACAGGTAAGCGTTTGTACTGACAACCGTGGACTACAAAGTACAGTTACAGGTAAGCGTTTGTACTGACAACCGTGGACTACAAAGTACAGTTACAGGTAAGCGTTTGTACTGACAACCGTGGACTACAAGGTACAGTTACAGGTAAGCGTTTGTACTGACAATCGTGGACTACAAGGTACAGTTACAGGTAAGTGTTTGTACTGACAATCGTGGACTACAAGGTACAGTTACAGGTAAGTCTTTGTACTGACAATCGTGGACTACAAGGTACAGTTACAGGTAAGTGTTTGTACTGACAATCGTGGACTACAAGGTACAGTTAGAGGTAAGCGTTTGTACTGACAATCGTGGACTACGAAGTACAGTTACAGGTAAGTGTTTGTACTGACAATTGTGGACTACAAAGTACAGTTAAAGGTAAGTGTTTGTACTGACAATCATTGACTACAAAGTACAAATTACAGGTAAGTGTTTGTACTGACAATCGTGGACTACAAAGTACAAATTACAGGTAAGTGTTTGTACTGACAATCGTAGACTACAAAGTACAGTTACAGGTAAGTGTTTGTACTGACAATCATGGACTACAAAGTACAGTTACATGTAAGCGTTTGTACTGACAATCGTGGACTACAAAGTACAGTTACAGGTACCTCTTTTTTACAAAACTGACAGACCGAAAAAATGTGCAGAAATATTTTACTGACTTGTATTAAAGAAATGGTGCCTGCTGTCATAATGCTATTAACTTGATATACTTAAGATATGCTTCTAATTTAAAATTCTACTGAACATATTTTTGGTATGTTTGGCATGGATGAAAATGACAATCTGATATCCTACTGTAAGATGATACTTTTGATGCTGTAGGCAGTGGAGACGGCCATACTAGAGTTGGATTTGGTGACTGCCTGTGTCATTCTAGTAGAAGGAGATGAAGGAGACAACAAGTTTCTGGTTGCTTATGTTGTTACTGAGAGTAAGACATCTAAGAAAGCATTACGAGCCGCCCTCAAACTCAGTCTTCCCTTCTACATGATTCCATCCTACTTTGTCATTCTGCCAAGGTTTGTTCCATAATTTTTTTTAAATCCCTCAGGTCTTTCGAAGACTGTAACAAGGTTTCAGGTTGTCTGATCAAATGCTGCAATTAGTCGTTACTCAAATTATGTAAATAGATAGCATCCTGAAACATTAATTGATGTCTTTAATTATAATTTAATACCATCCTAAATATAGTAATATACTGAACTAAATATAGTCCTATACAGCCCTATACAGTCATATACTGCCATAAATATTGTCAAATACTGCCCTAGATATTGTCATATACTGAACTAAATATAGTCATATACTGCCCTAAGTATAGTCATATACTGAACTAAATATAGTCATATACTGCCCTAAATATAGTCATATACTGAACTAAATATAGTCTTATACTGCCCTAAATATAGTCAAATATTGCCCTAAATATAGTCATATACTGCCCTATACAGTCATATACTGCCCTAAATATAGTCATATACTGCCTTATACAGTCACATACTGCCCTAAATGTAGTCATATACTGCCCTAGATATAGTCATATACAGCCCTAAATGTAGTCATATACTACCCTATACAGTCATATACTGCCCTAAATACAGTCAAATACTGCCCTAAATATAGTCATATACAGCCCTAAATGTAGTCAAATACTGTCCCAAATATAGTCATATACTGCCCTATACAGTCATATACTGCCCTAAATATAGTCAAATACTGTCCCAAATATAGTCATATACTGCCCTAAATATAGTCAAATACTGCCCTAAATATAGTCATATACTGCCCTAAATATAGTCATATACTGCCCTAAATATAGTCAAATACTGCCCTAAATATAGTCAAATATTGCCCTAAATATAGTCATATACTGCCCTACACAATCATATACTGCCCTAAATATAGTCAAATATTGCCCTATACAGTCATATACTGCCCTATACAGTCATATACTGCCCTAAATATAGTCAAATATTGCCCTAAATATAGTCATATACTGCCCTAAATATAGTCAAATACTGCCCTAAATATAGTCATATACTGCCCTAAATATAGTCAAATACTGCCCTAAATATAGTCATATACTGCCCTAAATATAGTCAAATACTGCCCTAAATATAGTCATATACTGCCCTAAATATAGTCAAATATTGCCCTAAATATAGTCATATACTGCCCTAAATATAGTTAAATATTGCCCTAAATATAGTCATATACTGCCCTAAATATAGTCATATGGTGCCTATTTCTTACTGATTTCTGGTACTAATATTTTGTTGACAGTCTCCCAATAGTTGAGGCAACAGGTAAATTAGACAAAAAAGCTCTGCCTCCATTTGATAAAGAATGTGAAAACGATATTGACAAAGAGGCTCAACCCTCTACTGACACTGAGAAAGAGGTGGCGCTGATATGGAAACAGGTCCTACAGATCAAGGATGTGGACATTCAGGAGAGTTTCTTCGACCAGGGAGGGTGAGTTGAGTGATTAAGTCAAAACCAGAAGACAGGGGAAGAGATAATGATAAATAATGTGGGATTCACTGGCAAGGTTGATCTGGTGTGGGATCAGTGGTGATGTGGGATCAGTGGTGATGTGGGATCAGTGATGATATGGGATCAGAGGTTGATATAAGGTATCAGAGGGTAATGTGGGATCAGTGGTGATGTGAGATCAGTGGTGATGTGGGATCAGTGATGATGTGGGATCAGTGGTGATGTGGGATCAGTGATGATGTGGGATCAGAGGTTGATATAAGGTATCAGAGGGTGATGTGGGATCAGAGGTGATGTGAGATCAGAGGGATATGTGGGATCAGTGGGTATGTGGGATCAGAGGTGATGTGAGATCAGAGGGATATGTGGGATCAGTGGGTATGTGGGATCAGAGGTGATGTGAGATCAGAGGGATATGTGGGATCAGTAGGGATTTGGGATCAGTGGTGATGTGGGATCAGAGGTGATGTGGGATCAGAGGTTGATATAAGGTATCAGAGGGTGATGTGAGATCAGTGCTGATATAGGATCAGTGATGATGTGGGATCAGATGTTGATATAAGGTTTCAGAGGGTGATGTGAGATCAGTGCTGATATAGGATCAGTGGTGATGTTAGATCAGAGGTTGATATAAGGTATCAGAGGGTGATTATTAAAGAAGATATGGTGTCAGAAGAGAAGATATGGCGTGGGAATAGAAGATGTGGTGTGGGAAAAGAAGATTTGTTGTGGGAAGAGAAGATATGGTGTGGGAAGAGATGATATGGTGTGGGAAGAGCAGATATGGTGTGAGGAGAGAAGATATGGTGTGGGAAGAGAAGATATGGTGTGAGGAGAGAAGATATGGTGTGGGAAAAGAAGATATGGTGTTAGGAGAGAAGATGTGGTGTGAGGAGAGAAGATATGGTGTGGGAAGAGAAGATATGGTGTGAGGAGAGAAGATGTGGTGTGAGGAGAGAAGATATGGTGTGAGGAGAGAAGATATGGTGTGAGGAGAGAAGATGTGGTGTGAGGAGAGAAGATATGGTGTTAGGAGAGAAGATATGGTGTTAGGAGAGAAGATATGGTGTTAGGAGAGAAGATATGGTGTGGGAAGAGATGATATGGTGTAGGAAGAGAAGTTATGGTGTAGGAAGAGAAGTTATGGTGTTAGGAGAGAAGATATGGTGTAGGAAGAGAAGATATGGTGTAGGAAGAGAAGTTATGGTGTGAGGAGAGAAGATATGGTGTAGGAAGAGAAGATATGGTGTAGGAAGAGAAGATATGGTGTAGGAAGAGAAGTTATAGTGTGAGGAGAGAAGATATGGTGTAGGAAGAGAAGTTATGGTGTAGGAAGAGAAGTTATGGTGTGGGAAGAGAAGATATGGTGTGGGAAGAGAAAATGTGGTTTGGGTAATAAGGAGTATTCCAGAAACTGCAAAATTTAAAAGCATTATCATGTTTGTACTGCAGACACTCCCTACTAGCTACACAACTACTGGGAAACCTTCGTGACAAGTACCAGCTAAACATCACTGTACATGACCTCTTCATTCACCCAACCATTGCCAGCATCAGTCAGCTGATCGAAGCAAAAAAGAAAAACATTGATGATGTAGACCTTGTGATTCCAAAAAAGAAATTGGATCTGAAAGCAGAAGTAGCTCATCATGATATGGCAAAGGTCGAGTAAGTGTTACCCACAAAATCAGGGGTTTAGACACGAGTATAGATATCTGTCCAGTATATCATACTGTTGTTAATTCAGGAAATCTCACTTTTGTTTCCCCAGTATAACATACAGTTGTTAATTCAGGAAATCTCACTTTTGTTCTCCCAGTATATCATACAGTTGTTAATTCAGGAAATCTCACTTTTTTTCTCCCAGTATATCATATAGTTGTTAATTCAGGAAATCTCACTTTTGTTTCCCCAGTATAACATACAGTTGTTAATTCAGGAAATCTCACTTTTGTTCTCCCAGTATAACTTACAGTTGTTAATTCAGGAAATCTCACTTTTGTTTCCCCAGTATAACATACAGTTGTTAATTCAGGAAATCTCACTTTTGTTCTCCCAGTATATCATACAGTTGTTAATTCAGGAAATCTCACTTTTGTTTCCCCAGTATAACATACAGTTGTTAATTCAGGAAATCTCACTTTTGTTTCCCCAGTATAACATACAGTTGTTAATTCAGGAAATCTCACTTTTGTTTCCCCAGTATAACATACAGTTGTTAATTCAGGAAATCTCACTTTTGTTTCCCCAGTATAACATACAGTTGTTAATTCAGGAAATCTCACTTTTGTTCTCCCAGTATATCATATAGTTGTTAATTCAGGAAATCTCATTTTTGTTTCCCCAGTATAACATACAGTTGTTAATTAATTCAGGAAATCTCACTTTTGTTTCCCCAGTATTGACATGAAACTGAGAGCCTTTTGGAGGAGTTTTAATCTGCACAATGAGAGTAAATTTAAAAAAGCACGAGTCTTACTTACCGGAACAACAGGTTTTCTGGGGGCCTTCCTCCTCAGGGAGTTACTACTCTCCACTAAGGTATGATACAACATGTCTTCTAGCGGCCTTCCTCCTCAGGGAGTTACTTCTCCCCACCAAGGTATGATACAACATGTTTTCTAGGGGCCTTCCTCCTCAGGGAGTTACTTCTCTCTACCAAGGTATGATACAACATGTTTTCTAGGGGCCTTCCTCCTCAGGGAGTTACTTCTCTCTACCAAGGTATGATACAACATGTTTTCTAGGGGCCTTCCTCCTCAGGGAGTTACTTCTCTCTACCAAGGTATGATACAACATGTTTTCTAGGGGCCTTCCTCCTCAGGGAGTTACTTCTCTCTACCAAGGTATGATACAACATGTTTTCTAGGGGCCTTCCTCCTCAGGGAGTTACTTCTCTCTACCAAGGTATGATACAACATGTTTTCTGGGGACCTTCCTCTTCAGGGAGTTACTTCTCTCTACCAAGGTATAATACGACAGTTTGTGGTAATTTGGAGAATCTTGAACAATCCCTGAACCACCCCCCACCCCATGCCCCCAAATAACCCTTCAATCAATTTTTAATCCTGAATCTTACCCTAGACAGTTAAATGTTGAAAATGAACTAAATTTTCTGTATTGATGACTTATTGACTGTGTCTTTATGTTGAGATTGTTTCATGCCCGTAACAGACTATGATTTACTGTGTGGTTCGGGATCTGCCTGACAAGAGTCCTACTGACCGTGTGGAAGCAACACTCAAACAGTTTGGAATTTTGCCCTGTTCAGAATCCCCTACAAAAGAGCAAATCTTTCTTGCTAAGCAGTTCAGATCCTATGTCCATGCCATAAAGGGAGATGTGGCATTGGTCAAGCTTGGCATGAATGAGGATGATTACACATACTTGTGCACAGAAATTGATTACATCATACACGCTGCAGCATCTGTCAACCTTGTGTATCCCTATAGTGTAAGTAAAATAGCCATGACCACATGTACATAAAAATCGGTAACATCATACAAATGCAAGATCTGATCATGTTGTATACCCTGAAGAGTAAGTAAGAATGTCGCTATAACTAAGAACTGGTATGTAATATAAGGTAATGATTATATAGAATACAGATTCTATTGTTCTTTACTTGTATTGTGATTGCATGTTTACTACAGGGTTATTATGATTGTATGTTTACAGGCTCTACAGGGTTATTGTGATTGTATGTTTACAGGCTCTACAGGGTTATTGTGATTGTATGTTTACAGGCTCTACAGGGTTATTGTGATTGTATGTTTACTACAGGGTTATTATGATTGTATGTTTACAGGCTCTACAGGGTTATTATGATTGTATGTTTACAGGCTCTACAGGGTTATTGTGATTGTATGTTTACAGGCTCTACAGGGTTATTGTGATTGTATGTTTACTACAGGGTTATTGTGATTGTATGTTTACTACAGGGTTATTATGATTGTATGTTTACAGGCTCTACAGGGTTATTATGATTGTATGTTTACAGGCTCTACAGGGTTATTGTGATTGTATGTTTACTACAGGGTTATTGTGATTGTATGTTTACTACAGGGTTATTATGATTGTATGTTTACTACAGGGTTATTATGATTGTATGTTTACAGGCTCTACAGGGTTATTGTGATTGTATGTTTACTACAGGGTTATTGTGATTGTATGTTTACTACAGGGTTATTGTGATTGTATGTTTACTACAGGGTTATTATGATTGTATGTTTACTACAGGGTTATTGTGATTGTATGTTTCCAGGCTCTACAGGGTTATTGTATGTTTACTACAGGGTTATTGTGATTGTATGTTTACAGGCTCTACAGGGTTATTATGATTGTATGTTTACTACAGGGTTATTGTGATTGTATGTTTACTACAGGGTTATTATGATTGTATGTTTACAGGCTCTACAGGGTTATTGTGATTGTATGTTTACTACAGGGTTATTGTGATTGTATGTTTACAGGCTCTACAGGGTTATTGTGATTGTATGTTTACAGGCTCTACAGGGTTATTGTGATTGTATGTTTACAGGCTCTACAGGGTTATTATGATTGTATGTTTACAGGCTCTACAGGGTTATTGTGATTGTATGTTTACAGGCTCTACAGGGTTATTATGATTGTATGTTTACTACAGGGTTATTATGATTGTATGTTTACAGGCTCTACAGGGTTATTGTGATTGTATGTTTACAGGCTCTACAGGGTTATTATGATTGTATGTTTACTACAGGGTTATTGTGATTGTATGTTTACTGCAGGGTTATTATGATTGTATGTTTATAGGCTCTACAGGGTTATTGTGATTGTATGTTTACTACAGGGTTATCATGATTGTATGTTTACAGGTTCTACAGGGTATTAGTGATTGTATGTTTACTACAGGGTTATTATGCTTGTATGTTTACAGGTTCTACAGGGTTATTGTGATTGTATGTTTACAGTTTCTACAGGGTTATTGTGATTGTATGTTTACAGGTTATACAGGGTAATTGTGACTGTATGTTTACTACAGGGTTATCATCATTGTATGTTTACAGGATCTACAGGGTTATTATGATTGTATGTTTACTTCAGGGTTATTATGCTTGTATGTTTACTGCAGGGTTATCATCATTGTATGTTTACAGGCTCTACAGGGTTATTGTGATTGTATGTTTACAGGCTCTACAGGGTTATTATGATTGTATGTTTACTGCAGGGTTATCATCATTGTATGTTTACAGGCTCTACAGGGTTATTGTGATTGTATGTTTACAGGCTCTACAGGGTTATTATGATTGTATGTTTACTGCAGGGTTATCATCATTGTATGTTTACAGGCTCTACAGGGTTATTATGATTGTATGTTTACAGGTTATACAGGGTTATTGTGATTGTATGTTTACAGGCTCTACAGGGTTATTATGATTGTATGTTTACTACAGGGTTATTGTGATTGTATGTTTACTGCAGGGTTATTATGATTGTATGTTTATAGGCTCTACAGGGTTATTGTGATTGTATGTTTACTACAGGGTTATCATCATTGTATGTTTACAGGTTATACAGGGTTATTATGATTGTATGTTTACAGGCTCTACAGGGTTATTGTGATTGTATGTTTACAGGCTCTACAGGGTTATTGTGATTGTATGTTTACAGGCTCTACAGGGTTATTGTGATTGTATGTTTACAGGCTCTACAGGGTTATTGTGATTGTATGTTTACAGGCTCTACAGGGTTATTGTGATTGTATGTTTACTGCAGGGTTATTATGATTGTATGTTTACAGTTTCTACAGGGTTATTATGATTGTATGTTTACTGCAGGGTTATTATGATTGTATGTTTACTGCAGGGTTATTATGACTGTATGTTTACTTCAGGGTTATTATGCTTGTATGTTAACAGGCTCTACAGGGTGCCAATGTAAATGGAACAGTAAACATGGTGTTGTTTGCCTGCACTGGGAAAATCAAACCAATTCACTATGTCAGGTAGGCTTCTCCAACCTGTCAATGACATCATTTTCATGTCTCCATAAATTTATAATGTGTGGTAGGTGATCCACTATGTCAGGTAGGCCTCTCCAACCTGTCAATGACATCATTTTCATGTCTCCATAACTTTATAATGTGTGGTAGGTGATCCACTATGTCAGGTAGGCTTCTCCAACCTGTCAATGACATCATTTTCATGTCTCCATAACTTTATAATGTGTGGTAGGTGATCCACTATGTCAGGTAGGCCTCTCCAACCTGTCAATGACATCATTTTCATGTCTCCATAACTTTATAATGTGTGGTAGGTGATCCACTATGTCAGGTAGGCCTCTCCAACCTGTCAATGACATCATTTTCATGTCTCCATAACATTATAATGTGTGGTAGGCGTAGAGGGGGAGGTGGATTAAAGTGTTACCAGTGTCTGTCCATTGCATCATATTCCATTCCAAATCATTGTCATATCTTACAAACCTCTCTATAGATTTGCTCCATAGTATCCTATTATAAAGCTCTACACTCACTTGATCATGTTCTGATTTGCATAAGATTGGAAACAAACATGTCTTTAATATCTAGATCATTTTCCTGTTAATTACAGTTTACCAGTGATAAAGATTTTATCAGTTTGATAAAAACTTATATCATCAATTTTCAGTGATAACTTTAGCAGTTTTGACCAATGAGGGTGGTTTGCTATAATCACTGCATCAAAATTTCACAATTAAAGCATAGGTTGGATGAGATAGTTTTCCATCAAACCTTCCCTTTGTACATTTTAAGTTTTTTTTCTAATTTGGTATTAAAAAACAGCTTTGTAAACAATTCTCATCAGATAACAGAAGAAAATGGTAAACTACTGTGTAGGTAAAACAGCCAATTTAAGTGTAAGTTCTCCAATATCAAAGGACATGAATTTGGACTTTGTTTTAACCATATTGTAATTAATGGGTATGGTTTATTATCATTAGGAATATATTTCTTATTTGAAAAGACAAATATTTTAAGGATGCATGAGGCATTATAATACTAATGCTGATCTGAATACATTTATAACTAGAAATGTTTCCTCACACACAGCACTGATGCCGTGTTCCCTAATGGTCAGCGAGATTGTAGGGAAAATGATGACATCATATCTTTCTCAGACCAGCTGACTGATGGCTACTCCCAGTCAAAGTGGGTGGCAGAACAACTCATATCTAGAGCAGATCAGCGAGGCATTCCAGTGGTCATCTATAGGTTAGGTAAGTGGTGACAAGTTATTTCTAGGTTAGGTAAGTGGTGACTGGTCATCTCTAGGTTAGTAAGTGGTGACCAGCCATCTCTAGGTTAGGTAAGTGGTGACCAGCCATCTCTAGGTTAGGTAAGTGGTTACCAGCCATCTCTAGGTTAGGTAAGTGGTGACCAGCCATCTCTAGGTTAGGTTAGTGGTGACCAGTCATCTCTAGGTTAGGTAAGTGGTGACCAGTCATCTCTAGGTTAGGTAAGTGGTGACCAGTCATCTCTAGGTTAGGTAAGTGGTGACTGGTCATCTCTAGGTTAGTAAGTGGTGACCAGCCATCTCTAGGTTAGGTAAGTGGTGACCAGCCATCTCTAGGTTAGGTAAGTGGTGACCAGCCATCTCTAGGTTAGGTTAGTGGTGACCAGTCATCTCTAGGTTAGGTAAGTGGTGACCAGTCATCTCTAGGTTAGGTAAGTGGTGACCAGTCATCTCTAGGTTAGGTAAGTGGTTACCAGTCATCTCTAGGTTAGGTAAGCGGTGACCGGTCATCTCTAGGTTAGGTAAGTGGTGACCAGTCATCTCTAGGTTAGGTAAGTGGTGACCAGTCATCTCTAGGTTAGGTTAGTGGTGACTGGTCATCTCTAGGTTAGGTAAGTGGTGACCAGTCATCTCTAGGTTAGGTAAGTGGTGACCAGTCATCTCTAGGTTAGGTTAGTGGTGACTGGTCATCTCTAGGTTAGGTAAGTGGTGCCCAGTCATCTCTAGGTTAGGTAAGTGGTGACTGGTCATCTCTAGGTTAGGTAAGTGGTGCCCAGTCATCTCTAGGTTAGGTAAGTGGTGACTAGTCATCTCTAGGTTAGGTAAGTGGTGACTGGTCATCTCTAGGTTAGGTAAGTGGTGACTGGTCATCTCTAGGTTAGGTAAGTGGTGACTGGTCATCTCTAGGTTAGGTAAGTGGTGACTGGTCATCTCTAGGTTAGGTAAGTGGTGCCCAGTCATCTCTAGGTTAGGTAAGTGGTGACTGGTCATCTCTAGGTTAGGTAAGTGGTGATTGGTCATCTCTAGGTTAGGTAAGTGGTGACTGGTCATCTCTAGGTTAGGTAAGTGGTTACTGGTCATCTCTAGGTTAGGTAAGTGGTGCCCAGTCATCTCTAGGTTAGGTAAGTGGTGATTGGTCATCTCTAGGTTAGGTAAGTAACATGTAGTTATCTATAGACAAGGTGCCTGGACTGGTTAACTATAGAAATAAAATCAGTAGGATATCCCTGTGAGTTGTATATCCATAGTAATAAACTGTTTCTGATAAGATTACTTATGTGTTTTTCTTTCAGGCAACATGTCAGGTGACACAACACAAGCCTACTGGAATCCCCAGGATCTGACGTTGCTGATGCTGCAAGCAATCACTAAGCTTGGTGTTGCACCTGATGTTGACTGGCAAGTGGAAATGACACCTGTAGACTTTGCTGCCAAGTTCCTCATCAAAATGACTTACAATTTATCCACTGCTCTAGGAAAGGTCTACCACCTTCTCAACTCCAAACCTATACACTGCAGGTGAGAGTTCTCACTCAACTCCAAACCTATACACTGCAGGTGAGAGTTCTCACTCAACTCCAAACCTATACACTGCAGGTGAGACTTCTCACTCAACTCCAAACCTATACACTGCAGGTGAGACTTCTCACTCAACTCCAAACCTATACACTGCAGGTGAGACTTCTCACTCAACTCCAAACCTATACTATACACAGCAGGTGAGACTTCTCACTCAACTCCAAACCTATACACTGCAGGTGAGACTTCTCACTCAACTCCAAACCTATACACTGCAGGTGAGACTTCTCACTCAACTCCAAACCTATACACTGCAGGTGAGACTTCTCACTCAACTCCAAACCTATACACTGCAGGTGAGACTTCTCACTCAACTCCAAACCTATACACTGCAGGTGAGACTTCTCACTCAACTCCAAACCTATACACTGCAGGTGAGACTTCTCACTCAACTCCAAACCTATACACTGCAGGTGAGACTTCTCACTCAACTCCAAACCTATACACTGCAGGTGAGACTTCTCACTCAACTCCAAACCTATACACTGCAGGTGAGACTTCTCACTCAACTCCAAACCTATACACTGCAGGTGAGACTTCTCACTCAACTCCAAACCTATACACTGCAGGTGAGACTTCTCACTCAACTCCAAACCTATACACTGCAGGTGAGACTTCTCACTCAACTCCAAACCTATACACTGCAGGTGAGACTTCTCACTCAACTCCAAACCTATACACTGCAGGTGAGACTTCTCAACTCCAAACCTATACACTGCAGGTGAGACTTCTCACTCAACTCCAAACCTATACACTGCAGGTGAGACTTCTCACTCAACTCCAAACCTATACACTGCAGGTGAGACTTCTCACTCAACTCCAAACCTATACACTGCAGGTGAGACTTCTCACTCAACTCCAAACCTATACACTGCAGGTGAGACTTCTCACTCAACTCCAAACCTATACACTGCAGGTGAGACTTCTCACTCAACTCCAAACCTATACTATACACTGCAGGTGAGACTTCTCACTCAACTCCAAACCTATACACTGCAGGTGAGACTTCTCACTCAACTCCAAACCTATACACTGCAGGTGAGACTTCTCACTCAACTCCAAACCTATACACTGCAGGTGAGACTTCTCACTCAACTCCAAACCTATACACTGCAGGTGAGACTTCTCACTCAACTCCAAACCTATACACTGCAGGTGAGACTTCTCACTCAACTCCAAACCTATACACTGCAGGTGAGACTTCTCACTCAACTCCAAACCTATACACTGCAGGTGAGACTTCTCACTCAACTCCAAACCTATACACTGCAGGTGAGACTTCTCACTCAACTCCAAACCTATACACTGCAGGTGAGACTTCTCACTCAACTCCAAACCTATACACTGCAGGTGAGACTTCTCACTCAACTCCAAACCTATACACTGCAGGTGAGACTTCTCACTCAACTCCAAACCTATACACTGCAGGTGAGACTTCTCACTCAACTCCAAACCTATACACTGCAGGTGAGACTTCTCACTCAACTCCAAACCTATACACTGCAGGTGAGACTTCTCACTCAACTCCAAACCTATACACTGCAGGTGAGACTTCTCAACTCCAAACCTATACACTGCAGGTGCAGCAGGTGAGACTTCTCACTCAACTCCAAACCTATACACTGCAGGTGAGACTTCTCACTCAACTCCAAACCTATACACTGCAGGTGAGACTTCTCACTCAACTCCAAACCTATACACTGCAGGTGAGACTTCTCACTCAACTCCAAACCTATACACTGCAGGTGAGACTTCTCACTCAACTCCAAACCTATACACTGCAGGTGAGACTTCTCACTCAACTCCAAACCTATACACTGCAGGTGAGACTTCTCACTCAACTCCAAACCTATACACTGCAGGTGAGACTTCTCACTCAACTCCAAACCTATACACTGCAGGTGAGACTCCAAACCTCACTGCAGGTGAGACTCAACTCCAAACCTATACCTATACACTGCAGGTGAGACTTCTCACTCAACTCCAAACCTATACACTGCAGGTGAGACTTCTCACTCAACTCCAAACCTACAAACATGTACTGCAGATTGTACAAAAGACATTAAACTGCATCATGCAGCTGTTACATGAGATTTACCACTTAACTCCATAGCTTGTACACTGCAGTGTACATACTGTCGCAGGACCTTGTAAAATTTCAGACATTATCCTACCCACTGGATCTGTATTCTTTCTCCTGACCTTTGACTTCTGACCTCTATCTATTATTTTAGGTGGCTGTACAAGTGGATGAATGCCAATGGTTTCCCTGTGGAGGTCATCAAGTTCACTGAATGGAAGAAAAGGTATATTGTCATATATCTAAAAAAAGCATCATAATTTTTATCCAGTTTGATTAGTATGAATTAAGAGAAATGAATACATTTGTTACTTATTATATCGTATATATTGAAGTATAGTCTAACCACAGTGTGGATTTAATGTAGCCAGGCCTTAGATCCTCCAAAGAAACTGACCCTGGGTATTGATTAACAGACATTGACCCTGGGTATTGATAAGCAGACACTGACCCTGGGTATTGATTATCAGACATTGACCCTGGGTATTGATTAGCAGACACTGACCCTGGGTATTGATTATCAGACATTGACCCTGGGTATTGATTAGCAGACACTGACCCTGTGTATTGATTAGCAGACATTGACCCTGGGTATTGATTAGCAGACATTGACCCTGGGTATTGATTAGCAGACATTGACCCTGGGTATTGATTATCAGACATTGACCCTGGGTATTGATTAGCAGACATTGACCCTGGGTATTGATTATCAGACATTGACCCTGGGTATTGATTAGCAGACATTGACCCTGGGTATTGATTAGCAGACATTGACCCTGGGTATTGATTAGCAGACATTGACCCTGGGTATTGATTAGCAGACATTGACCCTGGGTATTGATTATCAGACATTGACCCTGTGTATTGATTAGCAGACACTGACCCTGTGTATTGATTAGCAGACATTGACCCTGGGTATTGATTAGCAGACATTGACCCTGGGTATTGATTATCAGACATTGACCCTGGGTATTGATTATCAGACACTGACCCTGGGTATTGATTATCAGACATTGACCCTGTGTATTGATTAGCAGACATTGACCCTGGGTATTGATTAGCAGACATTGACCCTGGGTATTGATTAGCAGACATTGACCCTGGGTATTGATTAGCAGACACTGACCCTGGGTATTGATTAGCAGACACTGACCCTGGGTATTGATTATCAGACATTGACCCTGGGTATTGATTATCAGACATTGACCCTGTGTATTGATTATCAGACATTGACCCTGGGTATTGATTAGCAGACATTGACCCTGGGTATTGACTAGCAGACACTGACCCTGTGTATTGATTATCAGACATTGACCCTGGGTATTGATTATCAGACATTGACCCTGTGTATTGATTATCAGACATTGACCCTGTGTATTGATTAGCAGACATTGACCCTGGGTATTGATTATCAGACACTGACCCTGGGTATTGATTATCAGACATTGACCCTGGGTATTGATTAGCAGACATTGACCCTGGGTATTGATTAGCAGACATTGACCCTGTGTATTGATTATCAGACATTGACCCTGTGTATTGATTATCAGACATTGACCCTGTGTATTGATTATCAGACACTGACCCTGGGTATTGATTATCAGACATTGACCCTGGGTATTGATTATCAGACATTGACCCTGGGTATTGATTATCAGACATTGACCCTGGGTATTGATTATCAGACATTGACCCTGGGTATTGATTAGCAGACATTGACCCTGGGTATTGATTATCAGACATTGACCCTGGGTATTGATTATCAGACATTGACCCTGGGTATTGATTAGCAGACATTGACCCTGTGTATTGATTATCAGACATTGACCCTGTGTATTGATTATCAGACATTGACCCTGTGTATTGATTATCAGACATTGACCCTGGGTATTGATTATCAGACATTGACCCTGGGTATTGATTATCAGACATTGACCCTGGGTATTGATTAGCAGACATTGGCCCTGTGTATTGATTAGCAGACATTGGCCCTGCGTATTGATTATCAGACATTGACCCTGTGTATTGATTAGCAGACATTGACCCTGGGTATTGATTATCAGACATTGACCCTGTGTATTGATTATCAGACATTGACCCTGGGTATTGATTAGCAGACATTGACCCTGGGTATTGATTATCAGACATTGACCCTGGGTATTGATTAGCAGACATTGACCCTGGGTATTGATTAGCAGACATTGACCCTGTGTATTGATTAGCAGACACTGACCTTGGGTATTGATTATCAGACATTGACCCTGGGTATTGATTATCCCTGGGTATTGATTAGCAGACATTGACCCTGGGTATTGATTATCAGACATTGACCCTGGGTATTGATTATCAGACATTGACCCTGGGTATTGATTAGCAGACATTGACCCTGGGTATTGATTAGCAGACATTGACCCTGGGTATTGATTATCAGACATTGACCCTGGGTATTGATTAGCAGACATGACCCTGGTATTGATTATCAGACATTGACCCTGGGTATTGATTATCAGACATTGACCCTGGGTATTGATTATCAGACATTGACCCTGGGTATTGACTAGCAGACATTGACCCTGGGTATTGACTAGCAGACACTGACCCTGGGTATTGATTAGCAGACATTGACCCTGTGTATTGATTATCAGACATTGACCCTGGGTATTGATTATCAGACATTGACCCTGTGTATTGATTATCAGACATTGACCCTGGGTATTGATTAGCAGACATTGACCCTGGGTATTGATTATCAGACATTGACCCTGGGTATTGATTATCAGACATTGACCCTGGGTATTGATTATCAGACATTGACCCTGGGTATTGATTATCAGACATTGACCCTGGGTATTGATTATCAGACATTGACCCTGGGTATTGATTATCAGACATTGACCCTGGGTATTGATTAGCAGACATTGACCCTGGTATTGATTATCAGACATTGACCCTGGGTATTGATTAGCAGACACTGACCCTGGGTATTGATTAGCAGACATTGACCCTGTGTATTGATTATCAGACATTGACCCTGGGTATTGATTAGCAGACATTGACCCTGGGTATTGATTAGCAGACATTGACCCTGGGTATTGATTATCAGACATTGACCCTGGGTATTGATTAGCAGACATTGACCCTGGGTTTGATTATCAGACAGGTGTACACTGACCCTGGGTATTGATTATCAGACATTGTGGGTATTGACATTAGTTGATTATCAGACATTGACCCTGTGAATTGATTATCAGACATTGACCCTGGGTATTGCACCTACACTCAAATATCAGATAGGTGACACCTAATATCAGGTAGGTGACACCTAAACTCAAATATCAGATAGGTGACACCTACAAACACTCAAATATCAGATAGGTGACACCTAAACTCAAATATCAGATAGGTGACACACCAAATATCAGGTAGGTGACAACTCAAATATCAGGTAGGTGACACCTAAACTCAAATATCAGATAGGTGTACACCTACACTCAAATATCAGGTAGGTGACACCTAAACTCAAATATCAGATAGGTGTACACCTAAACTCAAATATCAGATAGGTGACACCTACACTCAAATATCAGGTAGGTGACACCTAAACTCAAATATCAGATAGGTGACACCTACACTCAAATATCAGATAGGTGACACCTAAACTCAAATATCAGATAGGTGACACCTACACTCAAATATCAGATAGGTGACACCTACACTCAAATATCAGGTAGGTGACACCTAAACTCAAATATCAGATAGGTGTACACCTAAACTCAAATATCAGATAGGTGACACCTACACTCAAATATCAGATAGGTGACACCTACACTCAAATATCAGATAGGTGACACCTACACTCAAATATCAGATAGGTGACACCTACACTCAAATATCAGATAGGTGTACACCTAAACTCAAATATCAGGTAAGTGACACCTACACTCAAATATCAGATAGGTGACACCTACACTCAAATATCAGATAGGTGACACCTAAACTCAAATATCAGATAGGTGACAAATCAAATATCAGATAGGTGACACCTACACTCAAATATCAGATAGGTGACACATATACTCAAATATCACATAGGTGACACCTATACTCAAATATCAGATAGGTGACACCTTTACTCAAATATCAGATAGGTGACACCTACACTCAAATATCAGATAGGTGACACCTACACTCAAATATCAGATAGGTGTACACCTACACTCAAATATAGGTGACACACCTCAAATATCAGGTAGGTGACACCTACACTCAAATATCAGATAGGTGACACCTACTCAAATATCAGATAGGTGACACCTAAACTCAAATATCAGGTAGGTGTCACCTAAACTCAAATATCAGATAGGTGTACACCTAAACTCAAATATCAGATAGGTGACACCTACACTCAAATATCAGATAGGTGACACCTACACTCAAATATCAGATAGGTGACACCTACACTCAAATATCAGATAGGTGACATCTTTACTCAAATATCAGATAAGTGACACCTACACTCAAATATCAGATAGGTGTACACCTACACTCAAATATCAGGTAGGTGACACCTAAACTCAAATATCAGATAGGTGACACCACTAAAATATCAGTAGGTGACACCTACACTCAAATATCAGATAGGTGACACCTAAACTCAAATATCAGGTAGGTGACACCTAAACTCAAATATCAGATAGGTGACACCTACACTCAAATATCAGATAGGTGACACCTACACTCAAATATCAGATAGGTGTACACCTATACTCAAATATCAGATAGGTGACACCTACACTCAAATATCAGATAGGTGACACCTACACTCAAATATCAGATAGGTGACACCTACACTCAAATATCAGATAGGTGACACCTACACTCAAATATCAGGTAGGTGACACCTAAACTCAAATATCAGATAGGTGACACCTACACTCAAATACACTCAAATATCAGATAGGTGACACCTACACTCAAATATCTACACTCAAATATCAGATAGGTGAAAACATACACTCAAAAAAAAGGAAAGTGACACCTACACTCAAATATCAGATAGGTGTACACCTACACTCAAATATCAGGTAAGTGACACCTACACTCAAATATCAGATAGGTGACACCTAAACTCAAATATCAGATAGGTGACACCTAAACTCAAATATCAGGTAGGTGACACCTACACTCAAATATCAGATAGGTGACACCTACACTCAAATATCAGATAGGTGACACCTACACTCAAATATCAGATAGGTGACACCTACACTCAAATATCAGGTAGGTGACACCTAAACTCAAATATCAGATAGGTGACACCTAAACTCAAATATCAGGTAGGTGACACCTACACTCAAATATCAGGTAGGTGACACCTAAACTCAAATATCAGATAGGTGACACCTACACTCAAATATCAGATAGGTGACACCTTTACTCAAATATCAGATAGGTGACTCAAATATCAGATAGGTGTACACCTAAACTCAAATATCAGATAGGTGACACCTACACTCAAATATCAGGTAGGTGACACCTAAACTCAAATATCAGATAGGTGACATCTTTACTCAAATATCAGATAGGTGACACCTACACTCAAATATCAGGTAGGTGACACCTACACTCAAATATCAGATAGGTGACACCTTTACTCAAATATCAGATAGGTGACACCTTTACTCAAATATCAGATAGGTGACATCTTTACTCAAATACCAGATAGGTGACACCTACACTCAAATATCAGATAGGTGACACATATACTCAAATATCACATAGGTGACACCTATACTCAAATATCAGATAGGTGACACCTTTACTCAAATATCAGATAGGTGACACATACACTTCTATCTCAGATAGATGACACATACACTTCTATATCAGATAGGTGACACATACACTTATGACACATACACTTCTATATCAGATAGGTGACACATACACTTCTATATCAGATAGGTGACACATACACGTCTATATCAGATAGGTGACACATACACTCAAATATCAGATAGGTGACACATACACTTGTGACACATACACTTCTATATCAGATAGGTGACACATACACTTCTATATCAGATAGGTGACACATACACTTCTAAATCAGATAGGTGACACATACACTTCTAAATCAGATAGGTGACACATACACTTCTATCTCAGATAGATGACACATACACTTCTATATCAGATAGGTGACACATACACTTCTATCTCAGATAGATGACACATACACTTCTATATCAGATAGGTGACACATACACTTCTATCTCAGATAGATGACACATACACTTCTATATCAGATAGGTGACACATACACTTCTATCTCAGATAGGTGACACATACACTTCTATATCAGATAGGTGACACATACACTTCTATATCAGATAGGTGACACATACACTTCTATATCAGATAGGTGACACATACACTTCTATATCAGATAGGTGACACATACACTTCTATATCAGATAGGTGACACATACACTTCTATATCAGATAGGTGACACATACACTTCTATATCAGATAGGTGACACATACACTTCTATATCAGATAGGTGACACATACACTTCTATCTCAGATAGGTGACACATACACTTCTATATCAGATAGGTGACACATACACTTCTATATCAGATACTCTTCTGTTTCTGATAGGCACACTTATACACCTGTAGCAGATATTGGAAACCCATGCCTTGTATTTGATTTGTGATGCCTACTCCCATAACAGATAGTGGCCCTACAATCCTATACAACTGAAAGGTTACACCTACAATCCTATATCAGATAGGCGACACATATCATGAAGAATTCTGTGTTTATTACTAGATATGAAACTTCTTGCTTCTGTTGACACAGAGATGAAAGTTTTTTCTGCGAGCTGAGTACTTACAGAACAGATAATCTAGACCAAGCTTTGTCCCAACTTAATATGGAATACCCAGCAACAGATGGGGAACTGCTCAAAACCTACTTTTCACAACTTAGCAAGAGAGGGGTCATCACTTCGGACCAGAGATCACTGAAAAAAGGTAATTAGGCAGATGGTTTTACTCAAACAAGACATCACAATTTCAAATTCATACATAGCATAGTACCTATTTTGAAAGTTACATATTATTTAGTTTGATACCTCATGTCCAATTTCAAGTTTTTAAATTCATTTTGTAAGTAAGTAATTGAAAACATGAAATTTAGAAGTGTTTAATGTGTTGAACAATATATTAAGAAAAGTTTGGCTCCATCTTATAAAAATAAAGAAATTTCTATACATATAAATATGACTGTTTATTATAAGGTGAAAAAGGGCTTATTTACCTTTCAGTACATGTACACTTGTGTAATTCCATAACTATTTTAAATTTTTTATTTAAGACTGTTTTGTTATTATGTAATTACAGTTGACAATTTGGAAATCCAAATGTTAGTTCTGTTACCGATTGAAAGCATAGTTGAATTGATAGTGAATGAAGGGGGATAACTCTAGTTTGTGTACCTCTCGAATGGTCTCTGTTGAGGTATAGCTGCTGCAGACATAACGCTAAATCATGTCAACAAGTACAGGTATTGATGTAGATAGTATTATTTTTGGTACATAAGCTATATATAGCAGTATGACAATCCATTCTATAAATAACATTCCGCGGTGTATTAATATACTTTCTCACATGATGAAAAGCTTCGGTACCATATAGCACATGGCTTTTTAGAGGGGCTGTCTCAAAAGTTCAAAGCATGTAGTTCTTTTCAGAGGCTGTTTCAAAACGTCATTTACGTGCAGTAAATGTTGAATTCAATTATATTTTATCTTCCTCTGAACAGAATTTTCTTTCTTTGAATCAGGATGCTTGAAAATTATTTCATGGCTTCTGTGAAAACTGTTTCTTTTTCTTTTCAAGTTTCTGTTAATACAGTGAACACATGAGCTATTGAAATCACTTACCTTGATGTTATCATTTCTCTTATGACTTATTAAACGACTGACATGTCTCCTCAAAAGGAGAGAGCAGAAAAAGTTCAAACTTACACAGAGCTAATGAAGACTGTTTATCAATGTATCAATTTTCATTTGCAGTTGAAAGTACAGTCGTCTTACTAGCCCCAGCTAGTGGGAATTTCCCTTTAGTCAAGCAGTAGAGTGTCTGGCTAGAGACAGAGGGATCGCTAGTTTGAACCCCAGCAGTACTTGACATGGTGTTTTTCATTACTCCTTCCTATTACATATATAGAAACTTATACAGATCAAAAGAATAAAGATGTCTTTTTTATTTGATACAGACCCTGGACCACTGGATGGTAAAGTCGCTATAGTGACTGGGGCTTCTAGTGGTATAGGGAAGGCAATTGCAAAGGCTCTGGCAGGAGCAGGTGCCAAGGTTGCCATGGCAGCGAGACGAGTGGAACGGCTACAGGAAGTGGAAAAAGACATCAAGGCAAATGGAGGAGTGAGCATTTGTATCCGAACTGACGTCACGAAGAGAGATGAGGTAAGGTCAGATGTCAAGGCAAGGAATGGATTCTGATCATGTCAGAAGAATATAACTAATTCATCCAAAATTAAAGTACAATTAATAAAAGTATTTCTAGAAAACTGCTGTAAAGTCTGATCCATAAACACCTTTACTGAGAATAGTTGTTGACAAAGGTCTTTGATGTTTTATTGACAGGTGAAACAGCTGGTCAGTCAGACAGAGTCTATACTTGGTCCAGTCGACATCATGGTCAATAATGCTGGAACCATGTACTACACAATGATGAAAAACCTTCATGAGGATGAATGGGATACACAGATAGATGTCAATGTCAAGGTTGGTTGGTACATAGATCAAGGTCATGTGAATCAATCAGATGTATCCAGTATTATGTAAGCATACCACATACTTCGTAAAATATTTATTTACCAAACATCAATACAACAAATATCATGTTGTTTTAGTCACTATACCATGAACAAATTTTTTATCTTTGGTTTTAAAGCATGATAATGTGCCAAGCAAGTTTAATTTCTCTATTGTTACCCTCAAGGAGAGGACAAATGCATATATTTTCATTTTTTTTAAATTTTTTTAAAACTTTTTGTTGAAATTTCCCAAAATGAGCTGACATTATGACAGCATGTCTGGGTTCTAGTTTATGTAGTTTTGTTTATGTGCAGGGTTTAACAAATGGTATCGGGGCTGTCCTGGATGGGATGTTGACACGCAAGTCTGGACATATTATCAACATGTCCTCAGATGCCGGAAGGAAGGTGGGTACCAGCCATAGAACTAACAAAAGAGTATGGTCACACTAACCACAAGTGTCTCACACATTATCACATCAAAAACCCAGTCTCGCACAAGATCTAACGAAACATTAAAGTCTGACACATGGTCACACCAAACACCAAAGTCTAACACATGGTCACACCAAACACCAAAGTCTAACACATTATCACACCTAACACAAAGGTCTGACACATTATCACACCTAACACAAAGGTCTGACACATTATCACACCTAACACAGAGGTCTGACACATTATCACACCTAACACAGAAGTCTAACACATGGTCACACCAAACACCAAAATCTAACACATGGTCACACCAAACACAGAAGTCTAACTCATGGTCACACCAAACACCAAAGTCTAACACATGGTCACACCAAACACCAAAGTCTAACACATGGTCACACCAAACACCAAAGTCTAACACATGGTCACACCAAACACAGAAGTCTAACACATGGTCACACCAAACACCAAAGTCTAACACATGGTCACACCAAACACCAAAGTCTAACACATGGTCACACCAAACACCAAAGTCTAACACATGGTCACACCAAACACCAAAGTCTAACACATGGTCACACCAAACACCAAAGTCTAACACATGGTCACACCAAACACCAAAGTCTAACACATGGTCACACCAAACACCAAAGTCTAACACATGGTCACACCAAACACCAAAGTCTAACACATGGTCACACCAAAGTCTAACACATGGTCACACCAAACACCAAAGTCTAACACATGGTCACACCAAACACAGAAGTCTAACACATGGTCACACCAAACACCAAAGTCTAACACATGGTCACACCAAACACCAAAGTCTAACACATGGTCACACCAAACACCAAAGTCTAACACATGGTCACACCAAACACAGAAGTCTAACACATGGTCACACCAAACACCAAAGTCTAACACATGGTCACACCAAACACCAAAGTCTAACACATGGTCACACCAAACACCAAAGTCTAACACATGGTCACACCAAACACAGAAGTCTAACACATGGTCACACCAAACACCAAAGTCTAACACATGGTCACACCAAACACCAAAGTCTAACACATGGTCACACCAAACACCAAAGTCTAACACATGGTCACACCAAACACCAAAGTCTAACACATGGTCACACAAACTAATGAAGGCTTATTTTCTGTAGATCATTCATGGTTGATATATTTATGATAGATGTCATCTCCTTGAGATGTAGTCACTATTCCTTACTATAAATACACACTGTCTCAGAACGTTTCTAGCTTAGAGAATAGTTATTAAGAATAAAAAGGGAGTTCCTTATGAGATAGTGATAAATTATACTGTACTGTTGACTATTTCAGGGATTCCCAGGCCTTGCTGTTTATTCTGGAACCAAGTTTTATGTAGAAGGGTTGTCCCAGGCCTTGCGACAGGAAGTTTGTAAATCAGGTGTGCGTGTGACCTGTTTACAACCAGGAGATGTTGGCACAGAGCTGCTGTCAAACAACACTGACTTGGAGGTAAATAACACAGGGTTTAACCTCCCATAAAGTGCAATCAATTTTTTTTCCATTTGAGTATTTTTTGATATCTCACCACTGCACACTTCAAAAAATAAAAAACAATTTAATAAGAAACAAGAAGTAAACTTTGTATCACAATAAGTTACTTCATTTCATACACTAAGTTTGGTTAGGGATTAGTTCAAAGGGCCTTGGTGACCACCATTGTCTGATCTTCATTTGTTTGTTTAAAGACAGATCTTTTCCCTGCCTTTCTATTTTTTGCTTTCTATGTTATGAATTTGAGAATTCCACTTAAAATAACAACAAACAAAAAAATTTCTGTCAAATCAAAGACAGTCACCAAGAGACCAAACCTACGGTATATCTGAAATTTTGGAAAAATCTTCCAGTTCCTCCCAAGAAATAATAACAACAAATACTGTTTAAGGAGAGGTGACTGATGGACTATGGATGCTGAGTAATTTTACTAGTCACCCATCTCATGATTGTGGACTAAAAATACATCAGCTGAATTTTTGGTTCAGGACTCAAAGGTCACACTCAATATTGCTTTTTATAGAAATAATTCTTTCTACTATTAAAAATTATAATGTAAGGAATGCTTTTTGTTTCAGGCGCGGTCAGCCTATGATGGAAGTGAGTCATGTCGTATTCTGGATGCAGAGGATATAGGTCGAGCAGTGCTGTATGCGGTCACACAGCCACCACATGTGGCAGTCAATGAAATCCTGATTGAGCCCCGCGAGGCTCCAGTGTGATATTATTATAAGGTTGTGTTAGGTGCAGTTGAAATGTACAGCAGATAATGGAACTGAGCGCTAAATTATTCAAAGAAATCTGTTCTGTTTTAAGATCATCAGCATGTCCTAACTGTTGTGAACTTGAGGGGTATGAAGAGGTCAGGGATCCTAGAAATGATGGCACTAAATACTACTGCAAATGACTTATAAGATGTTCTCATCTAATGTAATGTGAGTGGTGACATTGTATCCAGGTCAGATGTAATGGTGATCTGCTCATGTTCCAGGGTATCCTTGTATCATTTAGTATTTTTAATCAGGTTTAAATATTTTCAACTGAATCATTTCAGAGAAAGCCAAAGTATTAATGTTTCATATTTTCTTTGGAACATTTTTTTTCAAGTTGGTAATGTCAAATGAATGGAAGTTCTTATAACACAACTACTAGAAGATTAGAGTGTGGCATTTTGATGACTACACGATCATCTTCATCAGACAAATGACCAGTGTTGAGTGTACTAGCACTGATGTATGTAATGTATGAGATGGTACGGCTTTGACCAACTTTTCGGCTGTACTATAATGCTTTGTACACTAAGGTAAAAAGTGGTATGACGAGATGGTAAACAGATTATAAACCAAAAAATTACACAAGATGGTAACAATGTGCTGTAGTGGATTTGGCTACATTTATTACTGATGTATTGCATACTGTATATCTATGTATAAAACATTAAAATCAATTGTCTGTCTATTGTGTGTGATTTCTTCAACAGTGGTTGTTATTGTGTCATATTCTTAAGAAGTCTATTCTTAAGGTGCATACATACACCAAGTACATAAATAGAAACATTGTTAGCAATCACCATAGATCAAAAGTCAAGCTGTTCTCTGCAAGGAATTACATTTAAGAATAAAGTTGTTTACAAAAATGATAAGGAAAGACACATGTTCTGTTAATTTGAAAGACAGAGTTTAGCATGAACTAGATCAATACTGTATCTTTGTGCTGCTCCAGTTTTCTACTTGTGTGTTAGTTGAGAGGGTTTGTCTGCTACTCCACTAAATACTTCAGTTATCACACAACAGCTTTTTGTCTAAAGGGAACCCCTGTGGAAGTGAGTATTACTTGTCACATACCAGAACATGATGCAGAATCATAATACATGTGTCTTCATCAAAACTAAAACATTTCTTTAGTGGCTATCTCAAGGAAACCTATGGATGGAAAAATCACCTGGTACTTTTGATGGCAGTGTAGGTACAGGTGGTGACTATACATATAGCAGTCACACCATCTTATCCTGGGGCCCCTGATGACAGTGTATGTACAGGTGGTGACTACACATATAACAGTCACACCATCTTATCCTGGGGCCCCTGACGACAGTGTATGTACAGGTGGTGACTACACATATAACAGTCACACCATCTTATCCTGGGGCCCCTGATGACGGTGTATGTACAGGTGGTGACTACACATATAGCAGTCACATCATCTTTTCCTGGGGCCCCCGATGACAGTGTATGTACAGGTGGTGACTACACATATAGCAGTCACACCATCTTATCCTGGGGCCCATGATGACAGTGTATGTACATGTAGTGACTACACATATAGCAGTCACACAATCTTATCCTGGGGCCCCCGATGACAGTGTATGTACAGGTGGTGACTACACATATAGCAGTCACACCATCTTATCCTGGGGCCCATGATGACAGTGTATGTACAGGTGGTAACTACACATATAGCAATGATATAAACTAATTTCACTCTACGCTGTTTTTGTATTTGTGGAGTTATTGTCGCAATAAAGAAAGATTTACCATTTGAAGAATTTCGCAATAAAGAAAGATTTACCATTTGAAGAATTTATTTATCAGACTGATGGGTTTTCAGATGTGATAAAATTTGATGGACATTTAGTCAATCTTAATTAAGATATTGCTGGACTGTGAATAAATTATAACCTTATCTTACAGACTCTGAATGTAGCTTGGGTGTTTTCGATACTCATACTGCCTTCAAAAAACACAATTTAATGTCGTTGTGATAAAGCCTGTCAGGTCTGAAAGAGTTGAAAACTCCAAACAAGGTAAATATTATGAAAACAGTAAGGGGCAGTAACTCTTACAAATAGCCTAATCAGATTGATTTTCATGTCATGGTGATTTAGACTAAACAGTTTGAAACATTTGATCCATTGGAAATTGTGTGAGGAGATCTCAGAACCAATAAATTACCATGGGTGGACAGACAACACTATACTGTAATATGTCCTCCAATCAGCACTTTTTTGCAGCGGATAAAAATCACTGCAGTTTTCTTTAATACAAAATGGTTTATCCTTAGCCTGGGAGAAATGAGGACAATGTCTCAACAACAGACACTCAAGTGAATAGTGCCTTTCAATACCAATCTGAAGTTTATATACAGTAGAAGGTTTCGACCTTCGAGGACTCTTCAATGATCCTAGGGTCCATGCCTGTGTCACTGTAAGCACCTTTCTTATATAATCAAATTATTAGGGGGAAAAAACATATTCTGAAAGTACATGTGTATGAAAATTTATTTCATAAACAATCTATCATGACTCTTTGTACTCCTGAGGTACAAAATGAACCTACATACACGACAAGACAAACAGAAAACTCACTAATAGTAGTGAGGTACCTGATTTCACACAATACTCACTAGTACTAATAAGGTACCTGATTACACACACAATACTCACTAGTCCTAGTGAGGTTCCTGATTACACACACAATACTCACTAGTCCTAGTGAGGTATCTGATTACACACACAACACTCACTGGTCCTAGTGAGGTACCTGATTACACACACAACACTCACTGGTCCTAGTGAGGTTCCTGATTACACACACAATACTCACTAGTACTAGTGAGGTTCCTGATTACATACACAATACTCACTAGTCCTAGTGAGGTATCTGATTACACACACAACACTCACTAGTACTAGTGAGGTATCTGATTACATACACAATACTCACTTGTACTAGTGAGGTATCTGATTACATACACAATACTCACTGGTCCTAGTGAGGTACCTGATTACACACACAATACTCACTAGTCCTAGTGAGGTTCCTGATTACACACACAACACTCACTGGTACTAATAAGGTACCTGATTACACACACAACACTCACTAGTCCTAGTGAGGTATCTGATTACACACACAACACTCACTAGTACTAATAAGGTACCTGATTACACACACAATACTCACTAGTCCTAGTGAGGTATCTGATTACACACACAACACTCACTAGTACTAGTGAGGTATCTGATTACATACACAATACTCACTAGTACTAGTGAGGTATCTGATTACATACACAATACTCACTGGTCCTAGTGAGGTACCTGATTACACACACAATACTCACTAGTCCTAGTGAGGTTCCTGATTACACACACAACACTCACTGGTACTAATAAGGTACCTGATTACACACACAACACTCACTAGTCCTAGTGAGGTATCTGATTACACACACAACACTCACTAGTACTAATAAGGTACCTGATTACACACACAATACTCACTAGTCCTAGTGAGGTTCCTGATTACACACACAACACTCACTAGTACTAATAAGGTTCCTGATTACACACACAACACTCACTAGTCCTAGTGAGGTATCTGATTACACACACAATACTCACTAGTACTAGTGAGGTTCCTGATTACACACACAATACTCACTAGTACTAGTGAGGTATATGATTACACACACAATACTCACTAGTCCTAGTGAGGTATCTGATTACACACACAATACTCACTAGTCCTAGTGAGGTATCTGATTACACACACAATACTCACTAGTACTAGTGAGGTTCCTGATTACACACACAATACTCACTAGTACTAGTGAGGTTCCTGATTACACACACAACACTCACTAGTACTAGTGAGGTTCCTGATTACACACACAATACTCACTAGTACTAGTGAGGTTCCTGATTACACACACAATACTCACTAGTCCTAGTGAGGTATCTGATTACACACACAATACTCACAAGTACTAGTGAGGTATTTGATTATACACACAATACTCACAAGTACTAGTGAGGTATCTGATTACACACACAACACTCACTGGTCCTAGTGAGGTATCTGATTACACACACAACACTCACTAGTACTAGTGAGGTATCTGATTACACACACAACACTCACTGGTCCTAGTGAGGTATCTGATTACACACACAATACTCACAAGTACTAGTGAGGTATCTGATTACACACACAACACTCACTAGTACTAGTGAGGTATCTGATTACACACACAACACTCACTGGTCCTAGTGAGGTATCTGATTACACACACAATACTCACAAGTACTAGTGAGGTATCTGATTACACACACAATACTCACAAGTACTAGTGAGGTATCTGATTACACACACAATACTCACAAGTACTAGTGAGGTTCCTGATTACACACACAACACTCACTAGTCCTAGTGAGGTATCTGATTACACACACAATACTCACTAGTCCTAGTGAGGTATCTGATTACACACACAACACTCACTAGTCCTAGTGAGGTATCTGATTATACACACAATACTCACAAGTACTAGTGAGGTATCTGATTACACACACAACACTCACTGGTCCTAGTGAGGTACCGGATTACACACACAACACTCACTAGTACTAGTGAGGTATCTGATTACACACACAATACTCACAAGTACTAGTGAGGTATCGGATTACACACACAATACTCACTAGTACTAGTGAGGTATCTGATTACACACACAACACTCACTAGTACTAGTGAGGTATCTGATTACACACACAATACTCACTAGTACTAGTGAGGTTCCTGATTACACACACAATACTCACAAGTACTAGTGAGGTATCTGATTACACACACAATACTCACAAGTACTAGTGAGGTACCTGATTACACACACAATACTCACTGGTCCTAGTGAGGTTCCTGATTACACACACAATACTCACTAGTACTAGTGAGGTATCTGATTACACACACAATACTCACTAGTCCTAGTGAGGTTCCTGATTACACACACAATACTCACTAGTACTAGTGAGGTATCTGATTACACACACAATACTCACTAGTCCTAGTGAGGTTCCTGATTACACACACAATACTCACTGGTACTAATAAGGTACCTGATTACACACACAATACTCACAAGTACTAATAAGGTACCTGATTACACACAATACTCACTAGTAATGAGGTACCAGCTTACACACAGAATACTCACCAGTAATGAGGTACCAGCTTACACAAAGAATACTCACCAGTAGCGAGGTACCAGCTTACACACAGAATACTCACCAGTAGCGAGGTACCAGCTTACACACAGAATACTCACCAGTAGCGAGGTACCAGCTTACATACAGAATACTCACCAGTAGCGAGGCACCAGCTTACACACAGTTTACTCACCAGTAGCGAGGTACCAGCGTACACACAGAATACTCACCAGTAGCGAGGTACCAGCTTACACACAGAATACTCACCAGTAGCGAGGTACCAGCTTACATACAGAATACTCACCAGTAGTGAGGTACCAGCTTACACACAGAATACTCACCAGTAATGAGGTACCAGCTTACACAGTTTACTCACCAGTAATGAGGTACCAGCTTACACACAGTTTACTCACCAGTAGCGAGGTACCAGCTTACACACAGAATACTCACCAGTAGTGAGGTACCAGCTTACACACCAGTAGTGAGGTACCAGCTTACATACAGAATACTCACTAGCAGTGAGGTACCAGCTTACATACAGTTTACTCACTAGCAGTGAGGTACCAGCTTACACACAGAATACTCACTAGTAGTGAGGTACCAGCTTACACACAGAATACTCACTAGTAGTGAGGTACCAGCTTACACACAGAATACTCACTAGTAGTGAGGTACCAGCTTACATACAGTTTACTCACTAGTAGTGAGGTACCAGCTTACACACAGAATACTCACCAGTAGTGAGGTACCAGCTTACACACAGAATACTCACTAGTAGTGAGGTACCAGCTTACACACAGAATACTCACCAGTAGCGAGGTACCAGCTTACACACAGAATACTCACTAGTAGTGAGGTACCAGCTTACACACAGAATGCAAGATTTATTTCATCACACCAATACTATCCTACTTGTCTTATTTCACTAATAAGAAAAATGACAGCCCAATTAATCCATCAATAATGGTAGTACTTAATATTGTATGTCATAACAAATAATAAATGGAAAATAAACATAGTTTAAAATAAACAATAAAAGGTAAATAAATAGCTACAGAAAGGATCACTTATTTAGAAGGTAAATGTACATTATACTTCATTAGCTAGCTGCATGTCTTTTGTCCGTACAAAGTGCACGGTGATCCACAGAGATTATTTTGTTCAATGGCAATCCACAGCTTTTAGTCTTGTGATACTAACAATTAATAGCGATCCACTAAAGACTTATGTCTTTTGGAGAATGATCCACATAGACTTCAATCAGTTGGACAGTGATCCACATAGACTTCAATCAGTTGGACAGTGATCCACATAGACTTCAATCAGTTGGACAGTGATCCACAAAGACTTCAATCAGTTGGGCAGTGATCCACATAGACTTCAATCAGTAGGACAGTGATGACTTCAATCAGTTGGACAGTGATCCACAAAGACTTCAATCAGTTGGGCAGTGATCCACATCGACTTCAATCAGTTGGGCAGTGATCCACATAGACTTCAATCAGGTAGACAGTGATCCACATAGACTTCAATCAGTTGGACAGTGATCCACATAGACTTCAATCAGTTGGACAGTGATCCACATAGACTTCAATCAGGTAGACAGTGATCCACATAGACTTCAATCAGTTGGACAGTGATCCACATAGACTTCAATCAGTTGGGCCGTGATCCATGTAGACTTCAATCAGGTAGACAGTGATCCACATAGACTTCAATCAGTTGGACAGTGATCCACAAAGACTTCAATCAGTTGGACAGTGATCCACATAGACTTCAATCAGTTGGACAGTGATCCACATAGACTTCAATCAGTTGGACAGTGATCCACATAGACTTCAATCAGTTGGACAGTGATCCACAAAGACTTCAATCAGTTGGGCAGTGATCCACATAGACTTCAATCAGTTGGGCAGTGATCCACATAGATTTCAATCAGTTGGGCCGTGATCCATGTAGACTTCAATCAGGTAGACAGTGATCCACATAGACTTCAATCAGTAGGACACTGATCCACATAGACTTCAATCAGTTGGGCAGTGATCCACATAGATTTCAATCAGTTGGGCCGTGATCCATGTAGACTTCAATCAGGTAGACAGTGATCCACATAGACTTCAATCAGTAGGACACTGATCCACATAGACTTCAATCAGTTGGACAGTGATCCATGTAGACTTCAATCAGTTGGGCCGTGATCCACATAGACTTCAATCAGTTAGACAGTGATCCACATAGACTTCAGTCAGTTGGGCAGTGATCCACATAGACTTCAATCAGTTTGGCAGTGACCCAAATAGACTTTAATCAGTTGGACAGTGATGATTCACATAGACTTCAATCAGTTTGGCAGTGATCCACAAAGACTTCAGTCAGTTGGACAGTGATCCACAAAGACTTCAATCAGTTGGGCCGTGATCCACAAAGACTTCAATCAGTTTGGCAGTGATCCACAAAGACTTCAATCAGTTGGGCCGTGATCCACAAAGACTTCAATCAGTTTGGCAGTGATCCACAAAGACTTCAATCAGTAGGACACTGATCCACATAGACTTCAATCAGTAGGACAGTGATCCACATAGACTTCAATCAGTAGGACAGTGATCCACATAGACTTCAATCAGTAGGACAGTGATCCACATAGACTTCAGTCAGTTAGACAGTGATCCACATAGACTTCAATCAGTAGGACAGTGATCCACAAAGACTTCAGTCAGTTGGGCAGCGATCCACATAGACTTCAATCAGTTTGGCAGTGATCCACATTGACTTCAATCAGTTTGGCAGTGACCCACATAGACTTCAATCAGTTGGACAGTGATCCACAAAGACTTCAGTCAGTTGGGCAGCTATCCACATAGACTTCAATCAGTTGGGCAGTGATCCACATAGACTTCAATCAGTTAGACAGTGATCCACAAAGACTTCAGTCAGTTGGGCAGTGATCCACATAGACTTCAATCAGTAGGACAGTGATCCACAAAGACTTCAGTCAGTTGGGTAGTGATCCACAAAGACTTCAATCAGTTGGGCAGCGATCCACATAGACTTCAATCAGTTGGGCAGTAATCCACAAAGACTTCAGTCAGTTGGACAGTGATCCACATAGACTTCAATCAGTTGGACAGTGATCCACATAGACTTCAATCAGTAGGACAGTGATCCACAAAGACTTCAGTCAGTTGGGTAGTGATCCACAAAGACTTCAATCAGTTGGACAGTGATCCACGTAGACTTCAATCAGTTGGGCCGTGATCCACGTAGACTTCAATCAGTTGGGCCGTGATCCACGTAGACTTCAATCAGTAGGACAGTGATCCACATAGACTTCAATCAGTTGGACAGTGATCCACATAGACTTCAATCAGTTGGACAGTGATCCACATAGACTTCAATCAGTTTGGCAGTGACCCACATAGACTTCAATCAGTTGGACAGTGATCCACAAAGACTTCAGTCAGTTGGGTAGTGATCCACAAAGACTTCAATCAGTTGGGCAGTGATCCACATAGACTTCAATCAGTTGGACAGTGATCCACAAAGACTTCAATCAGTTGGACAGTGATCCACAAAGACTTCAATCAGTTGGGCCGTGATCCACGTAGACTTCAATCAGTTGGGCCATGATCCACATAGACTTCAATCAGTTGGACAGTGATCCACAAAGACTTCAATCAGTAGGACAGTGATCCACATAGACTTCAATCAGTTGGACAGTGATCCACATAGACTTCAATCAGTTTGGCAGTGACCCACATAGACTTCAATCAGTTGGACAGTGATCCACAAAGACTTCAGTCAGTTGGGCAGTGATCCACATAGACTTCAATCAGTTGGACAGTGATCCACAAAGACTTCAATCAGTTGGGCAGTAATCTACAAAGACTTCAGTCAGTTGGGCAGTGATCCACATAGACTTCAATCAGTTGGACAGTGATCCACATAGACTTCAATCAGTTGGAACGCGATCCACATAGACTTCAATCAGTTTGGCACTGATCCACATAGACTTCAATCAGTTTGGCAGTGATCCACAAAGACTTCAATCAGTTGGACAGTGATCCACATAGACTTCAATCAGTTGGACAGTGATCCACATAGACTTCAGTCAGTTGGACAGTGATCCACAAAGACGTTAATCAGTTGGACCGTGATCCACATAGACTTCAGTCTATCGGAAAGTGAATCACAAAGCTTGACAATCCCTTGCCAGATCAGACTTACAGCACTATCATGGCAACTAGCTGACACCTTTGAACACAAATTAATGTCACTGCTTGGTAAAGATGCTGAGAACTTAAGTGTTGATCAGTTGTGTGAAGCATTTTCACACACCTTGTTTCCTTTCAGTTGAGGGTGGGCAAACCTTACTTGCATAAATTCAGAAAAAGACACAAGGTCTGAGAATAAGATAAGCCACACCCTTTCTCTCCTAACCACTCTCCCATACATTGATACAGCAGATCATTTGTCGAACTTCCTCATGACCTTGCTGGTATCCCCACGACAGTTTGGACAGTACCACTTGCCCTTGGGTTTGTTGACAAGATTGACACAGTTAAAATGGAACCACTCGATGACACATGCATCATTGTCACACCCGATCATCTCGCCATAAGACACCTGATCACACAGACAATATGTTGGCTCATCTGGATCAATTGGAGGCTCTATGGGCGATGTTGGGGCTTGATCCTTCTCTTTCTTTGTCTTACGTTTCTTCTTTTTCTTAGGCACTTTCTCCTTTTCTTCTTGCTGTAAATAAATCAATCAAATGAATTATAAACACTTATCAAATAATAATCCATCTTAATTTTTTTTCTCTATTCCCAATTCCATACATCTATTTTAAAATTCATCTCTCAATAGTAGATCATGGTGATTAAGAAGGAAAATGGTTAAGTGCAATTAACTTACGACCCTTATAGTCAATTAATTATATTATCAAATGGAACATAATAAAATGTCCAATCATCTTTTACTTAAATGTCAATTATTCAAACCAGCAATTTTAATTGATATCAATATGACTAAACAGTTCAAATATCTCATTATCAAAAGACAGAAAAAATATTTCATGCTCTTCACAGACAGAAATCTTCTATTTATAAGCAATATACCTTCTTCTCCTCCTCCTTAATGATAGTGTCACTTGTTTTCTGTCGTCGCTGTCGTTTAACAGCTACTTTTTCAGGTTTTGGTTCGGAGTGTTGAATGACAGGTTTAGATGATGCGGATGTTGAATTAGATGCTGATGTGGTTGTTGTTGCTGCTGTCGTTAACTTTTCTTCTTTTTCTGTTTCCTTCCCAAACATAGGATCTGACAAAAGCATGATAAAGCTGTCCTTATTCACCGAGTTTATTTATAGAAGCAGCAACATCTCCCATGACCAATTAAGTTCATGATTAGGTGAGTTAATTGTCATCAAACACTATTCCTAGTTAAGGTTTGTCAGTACCTTGGAGGAGGCTTTGCCCACAGAAAATTGCATCAGCATTACTCAAGTAATGAACAGACTGACAAACCTGATAACATATATACAACCATTTGATTATATTACAACCACCTGCATCAAAAAAAAAAAAACTCATTTTTTCAACAAAAATGTTTACATCTGAATATATCCCCCTAAATCTAGCCTGTTTAAAAAGTTGAATTTCAAGCAGTGAGAAAAAACCCACAGCTAGACACAGAGTAGGGGTTAAATATACTATGTGAGAAATAGACTAGCTTACCCAGATTTTCTCTGTCTTGCTCCAGTTGTCTCCCCCTGTTGTCAATATGCTCTATTATCATAGCCATCAGATGGAGCTTTTCATCCCCAATCTCCTGACATTTAATTAGTGCCCTTTGTATAGCCAGAAGAGCCTTTTTCTTGGTCGGTCCCTCTGATTCTTTACAGTAAACTTCCTGGTGGTTGTCAATGTCCTGGAGAATATCTAGAAAGTAATTATTACACTTAAATTTATTTCAAACTTCCTTGGTTTTATAGATCAAAGAATAAAATTGTAAAGCTTTTTGAAAAAGAAGAATTCAAAAGACCCCTTCTTTTCAGGAGTTTGCCATTAAATATAACAGAAGGATCCTATCTAATCCAAAAAGGATCTTATTTATAAACAAATTACACAAGCACACCTCAGAGCCACAGTAACAATCACATTAAGTTTGAGATATGCCCCTCCAGTACAACCTACAACTGTCAAAATCCAAGATGGTCATCTAATTAGCAATGGGACGATGATGAGATATACTTGATTAGCTAATTGTTTAATCTCATCTGAGGTGATGATCAATTGTAATTTTTCATATTGAATCAACAGTACCTCGATATTTTCTTGTTATCGCAAAAACATAATTCATATTATGCATAATATAGATGCCTTTTATCAATCATGTTTATTCTTTGCAAATTCTAGGTGAATTATTTAAGCAGAAAGTTATAAAATGGAAAACATTGCTGCAATGAAAACTGCAATCATTTTCAATGAGTATTTAACACACAATCAGCTGGTATGTAATCAATTAAAATACATCAGAAAGCTTATCCAATTTAAATAAATAATTATGGGTTTTTGCCAATTTCGTTTTACTTCATCTAACAGCCATTTAATTTCACTGATCATACTACAAATTCAAAAGGTGCAGCATGGGACAGAGGGAAACTTATATATCAAGTTTGAGAAATATTCTTGCAGCAATCAAGAAATTGCAAAAGTGATCTTCAACTGTCAAAATCCAAGATGGTTGCATGTCAGCCATTTTACTGATTTGACTCAAAATTGAATGGACACAAATTCGTACTGAGGGAAACACACATGTACCTATTAAGTCTGAGAAATATCCCTATAACAACTTTCAACTCTCAAAATCCCAAAAAGCTATTTAGACCTGTAGGCAAAATATCCCTCCAGTACTTCTCGAGAAATAGTGCTAATGGAAAAGGAGAGGGTTGGTGTGACTTGTATACAGTGATAAATACAGTCTCCATCACTCAGCTGACAGAGCATGCTTCTTTGGCTCAGCTGTTGATCAGCCAGTGGGGTCAGCGGAGGTCAATAGGCTAACCAGGTTTGAACTATTTACAATAGAAAATAAACACATAATGTTCAAAAATGTGATTTTCAGACATTAACAATAGTAAACTTTACCCTCTCCCCAAACGGAAAATTAAGACCCTCCTCTGGATCAACCGAGGTCAATATTTGCATCTTATTAAAGTGCCATCTTAAACTAATAATTCTATCCAGGTTTGAACTATTTCCAATAGAAAATAAACAAATAATGATCAAAATTTGATTTTCCGACATTAACTTTTATAAACTTCACCCACTCCCCAAGGGGATTTGTGAGACCCTGGGGTTATGAAATTTACAATTATGGCAAAGCATCTGAAAGCCTTTCTATCCATGAGAAGTAATTGATTTTCCCAAACCTAGGATTTAAGAAGAAGATTTTTGAAGTCTCAATCAATTTGACCCTTTTTTGCCCCGCCCATCAGGCCCCTGGGGGTTGGAGGCCATACTGTTTACAATTTGGGTGTGCCCTTAGCCATGTAAGGTTTTTGTAAAATTCCATTGAAGTCAGTTCAGAAGTTCTCCAGAAGTAGAAAATGTTAACAGCATAAAAAAGCACAACGTACAAAACAGACAAAAGGGGTTTGCAATAGATCACATTGCGACTTTGTCTCAGGTGACCTAAAAACCAAACCTGGGTCTTCCACATGATAAAACACCATATTCAAACCACACCAACCTGGTCTTTAAACCTGTGGTTCATTAAACCGTAACATCAACTCGTGAAATAAACTAGAGTGATAACTTAATTAAGTCTTTTAGTCTCAAATGCCATAATTAATGAAAATTAAAAAAGCATGTGCTTTTATTTACACATGTTGGCTAAAAATAGATATGAACCGGAAGTGGTTGTATTCATCGCTGAGCGTCAGACGACGAATGTTTCCAACAGGTCCCCACTATTCTTTATAATAACAGTACACTTCTCGTAAAAATGTGTTTCCTTTACATGTTTACAAACAAATAAATACACATGGACACATCCACAGAAATCAAGTTTCAATTCAAACGTTATCTGAAACAACTGAAATTTAGTTAAACCTAGGCTACATTGATCCAGCACGCCGTATTTGAGTGACACCGATCACGAGAACAAGAGTTTCTCTGCCACTGGTAACACCTAATACATCACAGGATACTATCTGACACGGTTTAAAACAGCAATGGTGTATATACAAACCTCGACACTGAATATCTAGTTCCCGAAGCTGGGTAACGATTTTCTGTAAATCGTCTGGCAAATTTTCCATCGTGTCCAAATAGTTTTCCAGGTAGGTAGCAGAGCAGAGGGCCTCCACCGCAGCTTGATTCAACATCGACATCTTCCCGTTTTGGGTGTTCAAATCGTTACAAGTTGGGTACCATTGACAGGGTAAAATAGCACTGCTGGATACCAGACTCTTCGGACATTAGTTTACATGTTTTCCCTCCGAGTCTTGAAAGCAAGCCTCCTTGTGACACAGGTGACCTAGATCGGTTTTTAGGGGCTCACTAAGGGGTTAAGCTGAGGGCAATGTAAAATGGATTAAGACAGACAGGTAAGGAAGAACCACGACCTTAACTCACTTACAAATTAAGACATCTTTAAAATACCTGCACATTTATGGAACACTCTTTCTCTTGTATTTTTTTTCAATGATCATTAAAAGTAACCAACACCTTAAATGTGACCGGAAGTAGGTGCGAGTCAATGGATTTTTGTGGCTTGCTTTCATTTATCCGGTCGATCCGTTTCAATTACGGAACGGGACTATCACGTGGCCGAGTCCAGTTGTTGTTGCCTGTAATAAAGAAATGTTGCACTTAAGGCTGATTAGATCTAATTGCTACAAAATTAATAGCTATGTTGACAAGTATTGAAACATTTACCTAAACATTCATAATAATAAAAACGTTTTCTTCACTACAGACTTTTGAAAAATTTCCTAATTGGACGTTATCGGTATAAAACAGCTTGAAGACAAGGATAATATCCCGGCTTGAATTGCTATTGGTTTTTCGCATCTAGTACTGAAATTATTCATACACAAATTAATGGAAAGCAACATGTAACGATTCACGTCTCTGTCGTGTACACGACAGGTGTCAGTGTTAGTGATTCACGTCTCTGTCGTGTACACGATTGGTGTCTGTGTTAGTGATTCACGTCTCTGTCGTGTACACGATAGGTGTCTGTGTTAGTGATTCACGTCTCCGTCGTGTACACGATAGGTGTCTGTGTCTGTGTTAGTGATTCACGTCTCTGTCGTGTACACGATAAGTGTCTGTGTTAGTGATTCACGTCTCTGTCGTGTACACGATATGTGCATGTGTTAGTGATTCACGTCTCTGTCGTGTACACGACAGGTGTCTGTGTTAACGATTCACGTCTCTGTCGTGTACACGATAGGTGTCTGTGTTAACGATTCACGTCTCTGTCGTGTACACGACAGGTGTCTGTGTTAGTGATTCACGTCTCTGTCGTGTACATGATAAGTGTCTGTGTTAGTGATTCACGTCTCTGTCGTGTACACGATAAGTGTCTGTGTTAGTGATTCACGTCTCCGTCGTGTACACGATATGTGCATGTGTTAGTGATTCACGTCTCTGTCGTGTACACGATAGGTGTCTGTGTTAGTGATTCACATCTCTGTCGTGTACACGACATGTGTCTGTGTTAGTGATTCACATCTCTGTCGTGTACACGACAGGTGTCCGTGTTAGTGATTCACGTCTCTGTCGTGTACACGATAGGTGTCTGTGTTAACGATTCACGTCTCTGTCGTGTACACGACAGGTGTCTGTGTTAGTGATTCACGTCTCTGTCGTGTACACGACAGGTGTCTGTGTTAGTGATTCACGTCTCTGTCGTGTACACGACAGGTGTCTGTGTTAGTGATTCACGTCTCTGTCGTGTACACGACAGGTGTCTGTGTTAATGATTCACGTCTCTGTCGTGTACACGATATAGCCTATGTATGTGTTAATCCAATAGTTACACCTAATTTGAAGCTGATCCAGAGTTCAACAGATACAATGTAACATACCAAGTCAAAGGTCAACACACCACGTTATCACTTCTAGGATGTAAACATAAACAATTTTAGCACGAGGTAACCCTGTGTACCTGTTGTCCGTAATATTGTATCGTTTATTCACTCTTACAGTTTATTAGTATAAATACACTGTACATGTACTAAATATTCAGACATTACATAAAAATTAACCTGCATCTTAAAGTTTATCAATAACCCCCTCTAAACCAATCTCTTACAGTTTATTAGTATAAATACACGAGAATACAATGTACATGTACAATATAATGCTTTTATAGCACATATTAAATATTCAGACATTACATAAAAATTAACCTGCATCTTAAAGACAAGAAGAAAAAAGACAGACTTATCAATAACCCCCTCTAAACCAATCATGATAGTTATTAATAGCTATCAAAAAACCCCTCTAAACCAATCATGATAGTTATTAATAGCTATCAAAAAACCCCTCTAAACCAATCATGATAGTTATCAATAGTTGTTGAAAAACCCTCTAAACCAATCATGATAGCTATTAAAAACCGCTCTAAACCAGTCTTGATAGTTATAAATAGTTATCAGAAACCCCTCTAAACCAATCATGATAGTTATTAATAGCTATCAAAAAACCCCTCTAAACCAATCATGATAGCTATTAAAAACCGCTCTAAACCAGTCTTGATAGTTATAAATAGTTATCAGAAACCCATCTAAACCAATCATGATAGTTATCAATAGTTGTTGAAAAACCCTCTAAACCAATCATGATAGCTATTAAAAACCGCTCTAAACCAGTCTTGATAGTTATAAATAGTTATCAGAAACCCATCTAAACCAATCATGATAGTTATTAATAGCTATAAAAAAAACCTCTAAAACAATCAGGATAGCTATTAAAAACCGCTCTATCACCAGCATTCTTATAATAGATTGACACATTAAACCAATCAATAGTTATTACATGTTAAAAAAAACCCCTTAAACCAATCATGATAGGATTATGACAATCAAGTAAACTTAATTGTACTCAGGAAATGTGGTGTTCCGGCCATTAAGGTGCCTCAGTAGAACTTGATTGTAGAGCACTAACCACACGGAGCTGCAGAACCATTAGTGATAACCATTCTCGGCCCCCATCGGCTGTCAAGCTTATTACTATATACCACATACTGACAGATCAAAACCAAGGGAAGTAAGTCTGAAAGTTCAGAATGGAGACATGATCAAAACAAAGGGAAGCAATTCTGAAAGTTCAGAATGGAGACATGATCAAAACCAAGGGAAGTAAGTCTGAAAGTTCAGAATGGAGACATGATCAAAACCAAGGGAAGTAAGTCTGAAAGTTCAGAATGGATACATCTTATTACTATATACCATATACTGATAGATCAAAATCAAGGGAGGTAATTCTGAAAGTTCAGAATGGAGACATTTTATTACTATATACCATGTACTTATAGATCAAAACCAAGGGAAGTAAGTCTGGGTGAAGACATTGTTTTCAGTCAGGCCATAGATATAAGTAAATTAGAACAAGAACAGAAATCCAAACTAAACTTCTATAAATGCATTACACTGTTATAGCTGGTATTACACCACAGACGAATAGAGCATCATATATAGGTTTGAAGACACTTTCTAACCCATTTTAAAAAATGAGATTTGAAAGAAAAGCAATGTCAAAACGACATAATAGCTATACCAGGATTGAGCTACATCTGTTTTTTTTTCTTTTGTGACAGTCTCAAATTGCTGGCAAGTAAGATAGCAATTAGCGACCAGATGATAATTTCAACAACTGATAAAATGTGGTAATAGATGAAACGATTATTGAATGACGCTTTACAAATTTAAGTATCAGTGCCAAGCTGATCTATTCATCATTCCTCTCTATAGTTTTATGTAACAATCATTCCTCTATATAGTTTTATATAACAATACAAAGCTGTTCTGTTCATCATTCCTCTATATAGTTTTATATAACAATACAAAGCTGATCTATTCATCATTCCTCTATATAGTTTTATATAACAATACAAAGCTGATCTATTCATCATTCCTCTATATAGTTTTATATAACAATACAAAGCTGATCTATTCATCATTCCTCTATATAGTTTTATATAACAATACAAAGCTGATCTATTCATCATTCCTCTATATAGTTTTATATAACAATACAAAGCTGATCTATTCATCATTCCTCTATATAGTTTTATATAACAATACAAAGCTGATCTATTCATCATTCCTCTATATAGTTTTATATAACAATACAAAGCTGTTCTGTTCATCATTCCTCTCTATAGTTTTATATAACAATACAAAGCTGATCTATTCACCATTCCTCTCTATATTTTTATGTAACAATACAAAGCTGATCTATTCACCATTCCTCTCTATAGTTTTATGTAACAGTACAAAGTTTCTCTACACATGCATTCCTCTTTTATTTCAATAATTAAAGTAAATTTCCAATTGTTAGTAGGAAACCAATCATCATCAAAGGTTAGGTAATACAATGATTCTCTGAAATTGTCATTTCTGATGGGTAAACTGTGTATGTATAATATAAACTTTCTAGGGATTATCTCCCTTGGTCTTGGGTAAACGTTTGAGGCCTAACTCATGGCCACTGATCACTATACATAACCTCTCATATAAAAGTGCTAATTCTTAGTTTGAAATTGGATGAAAAAATCCAATGAACAAATAAATGTGGATTTGTATAAAGATGATTGTATTACTATTAACAAAGATGTTGTGGAGGATACATGTCTAGCTGTCCCTACTTTACAACTTATGACTAAATCTTGATCTAAAGCAATAAACACCAGAACTCTCATCATGAGGAATACTAATAACCCCTGCAGATGCAAAGATATCTTCATACAAAATCTTGTCAAAACTCCATGAAAAAGTAAAAAACTGTTGATAATTTGCATTCCCCAATACCTCTATAAACAAAAATTTGATAAAAATCAGACATCAAAATTTCATGAATAAGAGGCCACCATTTTCCTCAGCATAATTCTGAGGACAATGAAACTAATACAGTGATTCTTGTCATTCTCTAACACCAACCAGTCAGAGGCCATCATTTGCCTTCATAATGTTGTCATGACAATGAAACGCATACAGTGATATTTGGCATCCTCATACCCTACATACCAAATTTGGTCAAAACCAGAAAATATCAAAATTTTGACAAATCAGGGGCCAGGATTGTGTTACCATAGCAGCTGGTTCTGAATCACCTAAATGTATCCTACTATAGGTTTCCATTAGGTATACCATTTGATCGTAGGTAAATAAAATCTGTTGAATGACCAAGGAGTAATGGCCATTTATAGCACTATCTGTTTACAGTTAACATGGCAACCAAAATACCAGAATATCAGACAATATCTGCCTACAACAGACTTCCACACTAAGTGATTCCAGTATAACTCCCTATAACTGTGGGGGATAAAATAATCAAAATAAAATAAATGTGATATCTGACAAATATCTGTATCATATTTCAAATATATACTGCAACGATATTTATATATTTAAATATTTATTCACAAAAAGTGAATTGGAAAACCATTCAATGCTGTTTTCACCCAAAACATAAACCAAGTAATGTAGTTACTGTACTTTGTGCAGAAACAGATATAAACATTCAAAGATAGATGAGGATGTTAAGGCTAGAACCAGTGGAGAAATCATTAGCCTGTGCCTTCGTTGTAGCCAGACAAAAGTATTACCTACTGCATGGTACTACAGGTATAAACCTATCAGATAGAAGTTGCATTCATCAGGCTGTAAATACAAGTACTTCCATGACTACTACAGTTTGTTTCAGCACTGCAAGGAACATGTATTATATATAACCTCAGGTCACACCATCAGTATTCAAGATTTAATTCTTTATTTTTCAATTTGATTACAATTGACGGTAAATGCCAAATGGTGTTGGAAATGTTAAAACAGTAATAAAGACTTTATATGACATTCATTAACAACATAAATGACACAGCTTTGTGAGTAAATCAACCTTACTGCAATGGTTGCCTGTAAAGTGTCTCAAAAAATAAAAACAAAGTCTATTGCTCTGTAGGTAATGCAGTTTTATTGAATTCTAAGTAGATTCAAGTCTGGATAGGTAAGTGGTTCTATAAAACCTTCTATCTTCTCCATTCACGCAGATTTATTTTTATGAGGGAAGTCCAGCTTTACAATAAAGATAACATTTAAAAGTTTTTTTGCTTAATAGCGTGTCATCAATGTACAATGATAAAAAGAAACCAAAAGTATTTTGCGTGGCTTACTGAATCTACAACCACTGATAATGTCATACACAAGGTTGTGTGTGGTTTACTGAAACTACAACCACTGATAATGTCATACACAAGGTTGTGTGTGGCTTACTGAAACTACAACCACTGATAATGTCATACACAAGGTTGTGTGTGGTTTACTGAAACTACAACCACTGATAATGTCATATACAGGGTTGTGTGTGGCTTACTGAAACTACAACCACTGATAATGTCATATACAGGGTTGTGTGTGGCTTACTGAAACTACAACCACTGATAATGTCATACACAAGGTTGTGTGTGGTTTACTGAAACTACAACCACTGATAATGTCATACACAAGGTTGTGTGTGGTTTACTGAAACTACAACCACTGATAATGTCATACACAAGGTTGTGTGTGTCTTACTGAAACTACAACCACTGATAATGTCATATACAGGGTTGTGTGTGTCTTACTGAAACTACAACCACTGATAATGTCATATACAGGGTTGTGTGTGGCTTACTGAAACTACAACCACTGATAATGTCATACACAAGGTTGTGTGTGGTTTACTGAAACTACAACCACTGATAATGTCATACACAAGGTTGTGTGTGGTTTACTGAAACTACAACCACTGATAATGTCATATACAGGGTTGTGTGTGGTTTAAAACTACAACCACTGATAATGTCATATACAGGGTTGTGTGTGGCTTACTGAAACTACAACCACTGATAATGTCATATACAGGGTTGTGTGTGGCTTACTGAAACTACAACCACTGATAATGTCATACACAAGGTTGTGTGTGTCTTACTGAAACTACAACCACTGATAATGTCATACACAAGGTTGTGTGTGTCTTACTGAAACTACAACCACTGATAATGTCATATACAAGGTTGTGTGTGGCTTACTGAAACTACAACCACTGATAATGTCATACACAAGGTTGTGTGTGGTTTACTGAAACTACAACCACTGATAATGTCATACACAAGGTTGTGTGTGGTTTACTGAAACTACAACCACTGATAATGTCATATACAGGGTTGTGTGTGGTTTACTGAAACTACAACCACTGATAATGTCATATACAGGGTTGTGTGTGGCTTACTGAAACTACAACCACTGATAATGTCATATACAGGGTTGTGTGTGGCTTACTGAAACTACAACCACTGATAATGTCATATACAGGGTTGTGTGTGTCTTACTGAAACTACAACCACTGATAATGTCATACACAAGGTTGTGTGTGTCTTACTGAAACTACAACCACTGATAATGTCATATACAGGGTTGTGTGTGTCTTACTGAAACTACAACCACTGATAATGTCATATACAGGGTTGTGTTTGGCTTACTGAAACTACAACCACTGATAATGTCATACACCAGGTTGTGTGTGGTTTACTGAAACTACAACCACTGATAATGTCATACACCAGGTTGTGTGTGGCTTACTGAAACTACAACCACTGATAATGTCATATACAGGGTTATGTGTGGTTTACTGAAACTACAACCACTGATAATGTCATATACAGGGTTGTGTGTGGTTTACTGAAACTACAACCACTGATAATGTCATATACAGGGTTGTGTGTGGTTTACTGAAACTACAACCACTGATAATGTCATATACAGGGTTTTGCTTGGATCATATAAATGGTTTGGAAAATTTTTGTTTAAAGACAGGAAAAGATGTTGCGGTATGACACATTACATTGAAGGTAGTGACAACAACACAAGATAATGCAACTACATATACAATATTTACCTACAAACATCATCTACAAACATTTGACAAATGAAAATTTCACCTTTCAATGCTTAATTCCATATGATATTTTGCTAATGACTACATAAAAAAACCTACTTACAATCAATGTGCCTAAACTGATCTCTGCCATAAAACATGGTCACATTGAATTCAGTATCAAATATACAGAGGCAACAAAACCCTTTGTAAATCATCATCTATATATACATGGAAATACACATACACAAATATGGAAACTGGTGTAAATCATAGTACATAGAAAATATATATAGGTAGGACGTCTCCTACATCTGTGAACAGTATGATTGATGAGGAAGGAAGATTTAAATATCATGAGACAGATTTGTCCTTCACTTTGACTTAAGTCATATCATATTGAAATATCTGACCAAAGAAATATAAAATTTCAACCTTTAGTCAGTATTTGACTTAATTCACACACCATCAATAGTAAACCTAGGACTGAGATGTTGATGTCTATACACTTGAGCAAGTCTTTATGATAAATAATGGAGATTCAACAGCTTCTCGTATCAAAATCATAATTATCTGTACAGAAATTATATAATGTACTAGTAAAGACAGACTGGGGTTTATAACCCACGGGTGTATGACTACAGATGTATGACCTAGGAGCATATTACCCATGGGTGTATGATCGTGCAGTGTATGATACAGGAGCAAATCACCCACGGCTGTATGATCGTGGAGTGTATGACCCAGGGGCATATTACCCACGGGTGTATGACCCAGGGGTGTATGAACCAGGGGTGTATGAACCAGGGGTGTATTACCAACAGATGTATGACCCAGGGGTGTATGATCGTGGAGTGTATGACCCAGGGGCATATTACCCACGGGTGTATGACCCAGGGGTGTATGAACCAGGGGTATATTACCAACAGATGTATGACCCAGGGGTGTATGATCTTGGAGTGTATGACCCAGGGGCATATTACCCACGGGTGTATGATCGCGGAGTGTATGACCCCGGGGCATATTACCCATGGGTGTATGACCCAGGGGTGTATGAACCAGGGGTATATTACCAACAGATGTATGACCCAGGGGTGTATGATCGTGGAGTGTATGACCCAGGGGCATATTACCCACGGGTGTATGACCCAGGGGTGTATGACCCAGGGGTGTATGACCCATGGGTGTATGACCCAGGGGCATATTACCAACAGATGTATGACCCAGGGGTGTATGATCGTGGAGTGTATGACCCAGGGGCATATTACGCATGTGTGTATTACCCAGGGGCATATTACCCACTGACGTGTGATCCAGGAATGTACGACCAGGGGTGTATGACCAGGGGTGACCAGGGGTGTATGACCAGGGGTGTACTTACAAGGATGAGTGCTATTTATGATACAATTACTAAGCACTTTTAAGGACAACATAAATTATTCCTAAATATGCAACTCAATATCACATACTACTAATACCTGTACACCTAATCATATTTTACATCAAATATCACCATTAAACACATTGTTTCCGGTCACAAAACATATCAACCTTTACTGTGTTCAAGAATTCATTTTGTTCACTGCCATATCGACGTGGTGAATATTTGTAACAATTTACAAATCGGTGAACATCTCACTGTGGGTGACTAACCATGAAATCCTTGCACCACCTACACCACTTGTAAACCTTATGTTACAAAGTAATGCAAATGTCTCACCATGAAAAACATCAAAAATTACACATGGCAGCTTACAGCTAAACCATCAACATCAATCAAAACTTACACCCAACATAACAACTGATTTACTTTCAAGACTGGATCATCATGGAATCTGCCAAATTATTGAGATTTCAAGGAATACATGTTATATGTATCACCTCATCCATTCTAGTTTATATTCAAAACTTAATAGGAAATTAAAATAACACACAATCATTCCAATGACTAATACAAATAACACTACAGATATTCTTCCATAGTTCACAATAAAGGACACTTGGATTCAGTGTATTAAGGGAAAGGTTTGGTGGACAGATATATTTACCAATGTTTCATTGAATGATCTATGAATGAAGTTTAATCTATCACAAACCTCTCACTGTTGAAAAAAATGAACAGAAACATGATTTGGTCAGACCTTACACTAGTTCTTGTTAATTGATCTTTATTAAGTATTCCTAACCTTATCATTGACCTTGATATCCCATCTGGAGGTCAAGGTATCTAAACACAATAACTGACAAGTATTGCTAGCCAGCTGCCTGTCTGACCTTCACCTTTCTGGCAAGTAAACATACATGCCTGTTGTGTTGTTTACAGACTGACAGTCTGACCTTCACCTTTCTGGCAAGTCAGCATACATGCCTGATGTGTTGTTTACAGACTGCCAGTCTGACCTTCACCTTTCTGGCAAGTAAACATACATGCCTGTTGTGCTATTTATAATTACAGCTACCAGTCTGACCTTCACCTTTCTGGCAGGTGAACACACATGCCTGTTGTGCTATTTATAATTACAGCTGCCAGTCTGACCTTCACCTTTCTGGCAGGTAAACATACATGCCTGTTGTGCTATTTATAATTACAGCTGCCAGTCTGACCTTCACCTTTCTGGCAGGTAAACATACATGCCTGTTGTGTTGTTTAGAGGCTGCCAGACCTTGACCTTTCTGACAGGTACAAAGCCTGTGTTTTCCAGCTAATATCAAGCATGTACATTTACCTTGATTACCTTACAAGTACATAACTACTACTAAAGCACTAAGGCTTAATATGAAGGACTATGCAGGGTGCAGCACAGAAATGCAGTGACGAACCACACTCTAGACACCAGATCAAGTATAAGAAAATCTGTCATTCCAAGCAGGACGAGTATCTACAGATTTACTGCTCCTCAGATGATTACTGCTGCACATTGAGCGCACTGACTTTGCGCTGCCCGGTCGTAAACTATTAATGGACTTCGCACTGCCTGGACGGAGGGTGCTTGTTGTGGACTTAGCACTTCCAGGCCTTGACCTCTTACTGCGCATGGTGGAGTTTGTGGTACTGCTGAAGACACTGGTAAGGCTGCGTGTGCGCTGACCCATGGTGCCCTCATATGGTTGGACAGCTGCCACAGGAACCCCGTACAAGACGGTGCGTTTGTAATCACTAAGCTGTTCATTGCGAGACATTCCACGTGTTGACTGAGTTGACTGGAGGCGCTTTAGCATTTGCTGAAATGTACAAAATAAATTTATTAGAGTTATGTCTCGTCCACATCAACAAACATCTACAAATAAATTTACGTTTATATCCACATCAATAATTAACAATTAAAGCACAAAATGACTTGGACTAACCTCCATATAAACAAACAGATAAAATCTACAACCCATTACCTACATACAAATGTTGATAATACTTCAGTGCTAACTGACCAGTAATTTCATATAATTTTTCTATGTGTTGTGACATCATCTGTAACAGAATTTTCATCCCTACAACAGGATCTCAACCCACGGGGGAAGATTCTTAAATAGCAAATCGTAAGACTTGCAGAGTGTTTGGTGAATGTCACTATTTCCCCTACTGGTGAATGATTAATTTTTTCCAACCTTGCAAGCCTCAACATGTATATGTGTACTGATGTTATCTCAAAGTTTAGCTGCAAGAACATCATACAACTGCTATATAATGAAAAACATAGAAAATACTCTCCAAAGTGTATGGCGTAATAGATATTTTCACAAGAATCATGCATAAATACATATCTCTTCTGTCCTAATCTTTTAGTATAAGTTTTGAAGCAAAAAGCAAATAACACTTCAATTTACAACCTTCCCCTGTTCTGGTGTCAGATGGATTGAAATAGCACTTGTACTTTGTGAGAAACTGAATTAAATGTAAAACTTTGAAGACCTACTTCTCTGTATCCTTAATTTTCAGATATGTGATAAAGCCAAGTTTTGGTTAAAACTAAGAATTCATTTTTTGAGTTAAATATCTTACAGAGAAACTCTTCAAGTGAAATGTTGACAACAACATTGACACCATCAGAAATGTAACACCTTTGTTTCATTTTCACAACAACAATACTATGCCATAATTGTAGATCATGTAATCACTGTTTAGTTATCATATATTTCTATAACATCCTGATGTAATCACTCTTTAGTCATATATTTCTATAACATCCTGATGTAATCACTCTTTAGTCATATATTTCTATAACATCCTGATGTAATCACTCTTTAGTCATATATTTCTATAACATCCTGATGTAATCACTCTTTAGTCATATATTTCTATAACATCCTGATGTAATCACTCTTTAGTTGTTATATATTTCTATAACATCCTGATGTAATCACTCTTTAGTCATATATTTCTATAACATATGTAATCACTCTTTAGTCATATATTTCTATAACATCCTGATGTAATCACTCTTTTGTCATATATTTCTATAACATCCTGATGTAATCACTCTTTAGTTGTTATATATTTCTATAACATCCTGATGTAATCACTCTTTAGTCATATATTTCTATAACATCCTGATGTAATCACTCTTTAATTGTTATATATTTCTATAACATCCTGATGTAATCACTCTTTAGTCATATATTTCTATAACATCCTGATGTAATCACTCTTTATATATATTTCTATAACATCCTGATGTAATCACTCTTTAGTCATATATTTCTATAACATCCTGATGTAATCACTCTTTAGTCATATATTTCTATAACATCCTGATGTAATCACTCTTTTGTCATATATTTCTATAACATCCTGATGTAATCACTCTTTAGTTGTTATATATTTCTATAACATCCTGATGTAATCACTCTTTAGTCATATATTTCTATAACATCCTGATGTAATCACTCTTTAGTTGTTATATATTTCTATAACATCCTGATGTAATCACTCTTTAGTCATATATTTCTATAACATCCTGATGTAATCACTCTTTAGTTGTTATATATTTCTATAACATCCTGATGTAATCACTCTTTAGTCATATATTTCTATAACATCCTGATGTAATCACTCTTTAGTCATATATTTCTATAACATCCTGATGTAATCACTCTTTAGTCATATATTTCTATAACATCCTGATGTAATCACTCTTTAGTTGTTATATATTTCTATAACATCCTGATGTAATCACTCTTTAGTCATATATTTCTATAACATCCTGATGTAATCACTCTATAGTCATATATTTCTATAACATCCTGATGTAATCACTCTTTTGTCATATATTTCTATAACATCCTGATGTAATCACTCTTTAGTTGTCATATATTTCTATAACATCCTGATGTAATCACTCTTTAGTTGTCATATATTTCTATAACATCCTGATGTAATCACTCTTTAGTTGTTATATATTTCTATAACATCCTGATGTAATCACTCTTTAGTCATATATTTCTATAACATCCTGATGTAATCACTCTTTAGTTGTTATATATTTCTATAACATCCTGATGTAATCACTCTTTAGTCATATATTTCTATAACATCCTGATGTAATCACTCTTTAGTCATATATTTCTATAACATCCTGATGTAATCACTCTTTAGTCATATATTTCTATAACATCCTGATGTAATCACTCTTTAGTCATATATTTCTATAACATCCTGATGTAATCACTCTTTAGTCATATATTTCTATAACATCCTGATGTAATCACTCTTTAGTCATATATTTCTATAACATCCTGATGTAATCACTCTTTAGTTGTTATATATTTCTATAACATCCTGATGTAATCACTCTTTAGTCATATATTTCTATAACATCCTGATGTAATCACTCTTTAGTCATATATTTCTATAACATCCTGATGTAATCACTCTTTAGTCATATATTTCTATAACATCCTGATGTAATCACTCTTTAGTCATATATTTCTATAACATCCTGATGTAATCACTCTTTAGTCATATATTTCTATAACATCCTGATGTAATCACTCTTTAGTCATATATTTCTATAACATCCTGATGTAATCACTCTTTAGTCATATATTTCTAAAACATCCTGATGTAATCACTCTTTAGTTGTTATATATTTCTATAACATCCTGATGTAATCACTCTTTAGTCATATATTTCTATAATATCCTGATGTAATCACTCTTTAGTCATATATTTCTATAACATCCTGATGTAATCACTCTATAGTTGTTATATATTTCTATAATATCCTGATGTAATCACTCTTTAGTCATATATTTCTATAACATCCTAATGTAATCACTCTTTAGTCATATATTTCTATAACATCCTGATGTAATCACTCTTTAGTCATATATTTCTATAATATCCTGATGTAATCACTCTTTAGTCATATATTTCTATAACATCCTGATGTAATCACTCTTTTGTCATATATTTCTATAACATCCTGATGTAATCACTCTTTAGTTATCATATATTTCTATAACATCCTGATGTAATCACTCTATAGTTATCATATATTTCTATAACATCCTGATGTAATCACTCTTTAGTTATCATATATTTCTATAACATCCTGATGTAATCACTCTTTAGTCATATATTTCTATAACATCCTGATGTAATCACTCTTTAGTCATATATTTCTATAACATCCTGATGTAATCACTCTTTAGTCATATATTTCTATAACATCCTGATGTAATCACTCTTTAGTCATATATTTCTATAACATCCTGATGTAATCACTCTTTAGTCATATATTTCTATAATATCCTGATGTAATCACTCTTTAGTCATATATTTCTATAACATCCTGATGTAATCACTCTTTTGTCATATATTTCTATAACATCCTGATGTAATCACTCTTTAGTCATATATTTCTATAACCTCCTGATTTATTGACTCTTTATTCTTATATTTCTATAACTTCCTGATGTAATCACTCTTTAGTCATATATTTCTATAACATCCTGATGTAATCACTCTTTAGTCATATATTTCTATAACATCCTGATGTAATCACTCTTTAGTCATATATTTCTATAACATTCTGATGTAATCACTCTTTAGTCATATATTTCTATAACATCCTGATGTAATCACTCTTTAGTCATATATTTCTATAACATCCTGATGTAATCACTCTTTAGTCATATATTTCTATAACATCCTGATGTAATCACTCTTTAGTCATATATTTCTATAACATCCTGATGTAATCACTCTTTAGTCATATATTTCTATAACATCCTGATGTAATCACTCTTTAGTCATATATTTCTATAACATCCTGATGTAATCACTCTTTAGTCATATATTTCTATAACATCCTGATGTAATCACTCTTTAGTTATCACTTTTCCCCTATAACACCCTTGTCCTTCTCCCCAGCTATTAGTGAGTACATGTAAAGCTCATTAAGTTACCATGGTAAAGAAGATACAGTGATTTCAGGATGAAACATAACATGGACAGTGTGTACATGCAGGTGTGCATGGGATTGTGAAATACATATAGTGCCAGTTAAATGTCTGTGTGTAAAAGGTTTTAGCACGGAGTGTTGAAGGATCATTATCAGTTGTCAAAGTCAACCCTACCTTTTGATAATTCCTTTCAGACAGATCTACTTAAGTATTTATCCTACCTGAATTACCCAAGGCCACGAACATATAGTAAAGGTATACACATTTTACATGAACTGAATGTATTCTAAGTGATTTAGTATAGTTTGCGTACAATGATCAACCTATTCGACACGATATATTGAGTTGTCCTGTAAGGTCATGTACTGGTCTCCAATCTATACTGCCAGCACGACATCAGATCATATTTTCTGACATTTAATTTCCACATTCAAGTCAGCAAGTACCTAGATGACGTTCATTTTATATGACTTGTTCAAATGTTTGACTTGACAGCCAAACACGATAAAGTCAACATCCCGAAAGAGTTCACTATACACACCAAGGCCCAGTGTTTTACATAACCGGTTTTCAATCATCATATAACGCAGCATTTTAATTCATTACACAATGTAGAACCAAGTTCTGCAATTGCCTGTCATCAACAGAACATTTATTGCTTGGTGTTTTTTGTTGTGCATAGTGAAATTTGCATTGTGCAAGATAACTTAAAATAAAGTAAAAGTTTTGTTTGACCAAGGCCATCTAATCAGTGTGCAAACTGATGTGGTGTTTAGTCTGGACATGTCATAGTTGAACAGATTCACTGTTAACATATTCCA